GCAAGCTGGATCATAGGAGATTCCACAAAAATATTGGAAAAAACGTTTTCCCTGTGAGGATGACAGAGTCCTGGCACAGGCTGCCCAGGGAGGGTGTGGAGTCTCCTTCTCTGGAGACATTCAAAACTGCCTGTATGCTTTCCTGTGTGACCTGCTGTAGGTGATCCTGCTCTGGCAGGGGGGGCTGGACTAGATGATCTTCTGAGGTCCCTTCCAACCCCTGACATTCTGTAATTCTTTGATTCTGTGACTGTGAAAATCTTCACAGAAAGACATTTTTTTGTGTTTGTTGAATCCTGAGCAAACTATGTCCATTACATATTCATCCACAAACATTTTAAGTCATAGCAAACATCATATTTGCTACAGCTATGAGAAGAAAATCTCTTCTGCTAATTCCTTAAGACTTTAGATGACTGTGGTGTGCATTGACTGGTTTCTCTATGTATGGGAAGGCAAATGCTCAATTTGAAGCACAAAGAGGGAATATCAAGCCAGGAAGAAAATTAAATTGAGATGTGTATGTATGGCTGTGCAAGAGTCCAGCAAAAGTAAAACAAAAAACCATTAACATTAGCAAAGGTGTTAAATGTGTTAGTATTCTTTGAACTAAAAAATAAAAATAAAAAAATTAAACTCAGTTTTTAACTACAGCTACTTCAGAGGGAACAGTCCCAAATTCCCTCAGCTAGGAGACTGATCAGAAAGTCAAATGTGCACTTCTGATTTCATGTCTTGAGTATCTCTCCTGATTTCCTTCAAGCCTTTCAGCAAGTTTCTGGACCAACATCATAGAAGAAAAATGTAATTAGATGTGACTATTTTTGGCATGCTTATGAAAATAAATATTCAAGATTGGGCTTTTAAAGTAAGACTAAATGTAAGTCTTCATTAACATCCACTTCATTGTATGGGCAAGCCACCAGTTCCCTGGTAGGAGCTTGGGAATCTTATCCAGGAGGTTAAACAACTGATGGGAATTTCTTAAGAGATTAAGTTTGGTATTCATTCTGAGGGAGTTGTTTTTCCTTAAGTTAATTCTGCCACTGAAACCTGCATTGAGTTTTGGAATCCTTCACAGATGCTAAAACTGTTGTCATGCTTTTGTGTGTCTGGGGAACAAAAGAGATTTTAGAGGAATATCTTCAGCTTGGAAATCAAGAGCAGCATAAAGAAAAATTAATGTGCTATGAAAGTGTAACCTCACTGTAAATAGAAACACATCTACAGAGATTCTAAATTGCCATAGAGGTATTAAACACAGTATTATTATGCCATTCATACAGACTGTTGCTTCTGTTATAAATCTGACATCCAAAATCAGCACAACTCAGCTTCCCAATTTGCACTTTGTTGAAATATGGCACAGCACACATTACTTCAAATTTCATATGTATGGATGAAAAGACTGTATAGTTTTTTCATTGCTTATTCAACTTTAATCACTCATTTCAAAGATCAAGCTTATGAGGGTTTCCATGTTTCAGCAAATTCCATCTTTTATTAGTTTTGAACTGAATTTAGTTTCCCTGTCCTGTATTAGAAAAGTTGATGTATAACCACGCTGTGCCGAGATTAAAATATCCCCACAACTCCAATCTGATGAGTCAAAAATGTCTCCTCAAAAAAACCCACGATGCTAGTCACCACTAGATTGCACCAAGGTGTTCTTCTTGCAGCTCCCTCACTCTGTGTGTACCACGTGGTGTTTGCTCCAGATGTGGTGACAAAATGAGGACACGCTGCTGAATCGTGTCCTACCTGCTCTGCCCTTCTGCCCATGCCATAGCTGCATCCAGCCGGCATTATTAGATGGTGCTCTCAATGGTAACTAGGCTAAACCATTCCTAAAGATTTTGCTAAAGAATTAACAGTTAAACCCTTTGCAGAGAAGAGGCTCAAATCACATGCTGAAGTCAAAGTACGAGAACTGCTGACACACAACCTACATCAGCACAGGTCTATCCAGCAGCTAAAGATCCAGGATGAGGAGCCTAGAGCCTACCTTCAGGCCGATGTTAACACAGTCTGCATCCAGGATGTTGAGCTGTCGTGAGGTGAGACCATCACCTTTGTCTCTGGCCAGCCAGCATTTACAGGCAAAGTTATACATGACGCCTTTTGTGGGCACGACAATGGTGAGCTCTTCCACTAGCCAGCAGCTCTCTGGGGTAGCACCATCATGCCCCACCTGTGAGAGTCAGTGAGAACACAAAGGCTGGTTAAAGGGGATTTCTTCACAGAAGAGACCCTCATTGGGTGTTTTAACCAGTGATGAGGAACTGGGAGTGTTGACTACATACACCATCATCCAAATCACTTCCACAGTGGATCAGAGGGAGCTGTGATACAGTTCATGCCATTGCTGCCCAACAGGCAAGACAACAGTGTACGTGGTAGCTGATGTGTGCAAGGAAGCTCACATCATCTGCTAACGAGCATGAGAGAAGGCAGGACACAGCACAGAGGACATTAAATAGGTAGACAGCACTGACCTACATGAAAACATGCCCACTCTCTTACTGCCTACATCTGCTCCATTGACCTCCACCTACTAGTTTTCCGATCTCTGCAGACCCATTTCTTCACCTTTCCAACCCCTTCCACTGCTTTAGCAACACTTAGAAGTGACTATTCAAGGCTTCACAGCCAAGATGGAAGACGTATCTAGGCAAATGCCCACATGCCCTATTCAATCAATCTTTCCCTCACAAAACCCCATCTAAGCCAACTATATGTATCAGGCCATTTCTCTGCTTCTCATCTCCCTAAACTGAAAAACCTTTGTGTTTGTACAGAAGCCAACAGATGGAGGTTACATCTGTGGCTGATTGATTTGCAAGGACCACATCCTCCAAACTCAAGAGTGGTACATCCAAGAGAGCAGGAAGTCACACAAGAGTGTCAGAAAGCGTACATGGATGAACGAAGGGGTCCTTACAAGATTTAAATTGAAAAAGGAAGAATGCTAGAGGTAGCAGCAAAGACGGGGGACCTGGAGGAATGCAGAGACACGGCCCAAGGGTACAAGGATGAGGTTAGGAATGCCAAAGCTCACCTGGAGCTGAGTCTGGCCAGGGCCATAAAGAGCAACAAGCAATGTTCTTACTGGTATACCACCAGCAAAAGGGTGCTGATGGTGCAAATGTCTCCAAGAGGTGCAAATGTCTCCAAGAAACTGCATGTGTCCCTCTTGAAGAATGTGGGCAATTCATCCCCGGGCAGACTTATAAGCATAATTATGCATCCCAGCTGATGTGCAAAACTCAGTCAGTCATTCCAATGAGCTATCTGTACATAAAAAGTTGAAAAAAAGAACTACCTACAGTTCATTATTTTCAGGGCAAGTGTTGTTTGTGTTGTTGTTAGGAAAGTTAGGGCATTAGCTCTCACTTTTTTTGCTTTAAATTATTACGATATTTAAGATTGCTCAAAAATATTTTTTAATAACCTGTACGTCTAGAGTGATATATCCACGATGCCTTTTTTTTCCCCTCAAAAGAAAACCAAGTGATCTTTTTTATTTGACTGTCTCAGCCATCACTGCTATTAGGAGTATTATTACTACACTAATGTCAGTGCAGCTGCAGAAAATTAGAGTTAACCACCAGGGAAATTCAAGTCTACAATGGATGCATTAATTCTCAGATTCCTGGAGTGTGAGGTGAATGGGAATAATCACACTCGCCTTCCCATTCCCTCTCTGCCAGCCTGGCTGCCCTTCTCCAAACCCAAAGCCTCACTAAGAGTCTGCCCACAAGCCTCCTGAGACCTGTTGCAGGTTGGCACGGACGAGGCAGGGGGGTAAGTTCAGGGCAAGGGCTCTGCAGTGAAGCAGGGATGTCTTGGTTTGAGCTAAACAGAACAAATTCTGTTCAGTAATTTTTACTTTTCAGCTCAATCTCTTCTGAGAAGCTGCACTTTCTGAAGTCAGCAGCATGTTTTTTGCAGACAGTGTGTGCTACTGGCAGTGATAACACCTGATGTTACAGTCACTGTCTGGGACTGGGAGGCAGAAAGGCTCTTGCTGATACTTATTCCTACAGTGACCAAGGCCACTGCTGGCTTTTCTGTGCTGTGCTGGGGGTGCCAGCAAGTAAAAGGGGTCACAAGGAAGTAAAATGTTGTGCCTCCAGGGAAGGACAGAACAAGTGACCAACAAGAGTATTCCATTCCATTCCATTCCATTCCATTCCATTCCATTCCATTCCATTCCATATATATATCGGTATAAAACTGAGGCATCACAAGGGTTAAACCTCTTCTTCAATGGCCAGCATCTAAGTAGGATTCCATCTGATCTTCTGCCTTCGATCCTAACCCCGAGTTCCCAAATCCAGCTCCCCTCTGCTCCTGAGGCTGGGGCTGCCCTGGTGCCACCAGCTCTGCAGCATCTGTGGGAATTGCTGTCAGGTTGGGGAAAGCCAGGTTCAATATCTTTCCTTATATATTTGTATATATTCTATTATTTTCATTGTTTCCCTATTAGTACTATTACTGTTTTATTAAGGCTGTTTTAATTTTCCAGTCACTAACTTTCTGCCTTATTCCCTTTTCCTTCCTGTTTGAGTATCTGTCAGCTTTTGGTGGCAGACCCAGCCCAGAGTCTTGACAAGGGACAAAGCAGCCAGAGGGAAAATCCCAATGAGTCCATTAAAGTCTGCTGCTCTTTTGGGTTCATTATAGCTCTGTCTTTAAGAGTCAGTTCATAGCATTGCCAGGTACTAGATATTTGCAGCAACCTTTAACTCCTTTGGTATTAGTGATCGGCCAGAAGAAAGCATCCTGCACATGCAGAACCTATATACGAGCAGATTTCCAAAGGCTCAAACAATAACGTTGTAAAGTCTGGAATAAATTCATCCAGTGCTGAGTCTTGCTTGCGGCTGGACTTTTAGAGGAAAGCACTGGAGTTTGTCTTTCCACTCCAAGCAAATCTTTAGATAGACCATGCCAAATCAGTAAACGAGCCAAAGCCATGGCCATACCAGCAGTGTAGCCTGGACCTGCATACAACTATCATTGCAACTTTGGGGGGCTGAGATGTTTAAACTAAATTAAAATGATAGAACTTCAAAGTCAGATATGTCCTTGGGCTCTCTGAAAACCTTTGTAACTCATTTCTACTGACCTTGTGGGATAGTTGACTTGCAACATTTATATGTCCTTGGCTTTATTTTGTGCTTATGATGTCGAAAGGCTCTGAATCAGAAGCGGTTTAGAAACGCAGCCAAATAAAGGACTTCTCTGGACATACGTGTGTGTCTTTGCAGCGGCAGCAGTTTAGGAACAGGGATAGTTTTGTTCATTAGAAGAAATATTAAAACTTGTTTTAAGAACACACTATAAAGCGCCTATACCAAATAACTTGTATTATTTATTTTCATGTCAGCCTGTCTATTAAAGCACACCAGTGGGAAATATTACATCTGGAGGCTTACAGGACAGATATAAATGGGACCCTTTCAAATTACTTCATGTTCCACTGCTTCTGCTTTCATCAGAGTATATTTGCATCAGGAGAATAATACCAAACTAGAAGTGGCATCATGCTGCACATCTTAGGATCCTACTAAATCCTACAGTCTGCTGCCTCGGTTACACAGAGGGCTTCTGGAAACTTAATCCCCATGCTATGCTATTTTCACATGGTAACTCATATTCCGAACTTCTTGCCTTCTTCCAGAAGCAGCCAAATGCCAAATTTGAGAACGACCTGTTCCTCACTTTTCCTGAGTAGATAACTAGCAATTTTCTGCAACATCCCTGAACACTGCAATTTTCCACAAAGAAAATATGGACTGATTCCATGGCAACCATGGCAGACTGGCACATCGATGTCATCTCTGGGACGTGGATCAACAAGAAGAGACCTTCCAAGCAGAGGGCACTCCCTGAAGGAAGGCAGAAATTCAGGAGCAGGTGGCTTCTCCAGCCACGAGCTCTGGGGTTAAGAACTAAAAAGGAAAAATGAGCAGAAGCTGGGATAGCAAACTGGTGAGATCACTGAGGACAAGGGTGAAAGAGTACAGAGGAATACTACCCAGCTTGAAAGCTATATGTTACATCTTCTTCATTGCAACCATTTCTCTTCTTTCACATTTTTAATCCTTTTCAAATTATTTCTTCTCCTTGCTTCCGTATATTTCCAAGTGTTTTCTCCTATTCTTTGCCCATTCCTCACCTTACTTCCCGTCTCTTTTCCAGTAACCTTTTTCTATTTCTTTCTTCATGCAACTCCATGTCTCTGACACTGAGGGGTTACATTGTCTTTTTTGTTTCTCCCTATCCTAGCCCATGGTGGTTTCCATGTGCACACTGTCTGAAAGAGAGGGATTTACATACTTGTTTCACTTTCAAAGTTTAACCTAGAGATGGCTAGAGAGAAAGTGCCACTGACACTCCTAACATCCAAGCACTCAGAGTGTATTAAGAAAATAACTTGATAATAAACTCAAATCTAGTAAGGGGACTTCTCAAGGTGCCAGAATCCATCACTTGAATGAAAGCTAATGGGAGCACCTTGGTCTATTGGCTGCTACAACAGGATATCCAACTGCAAATAGTTTTTCGGTTAGTAGGATTTCTCTCTTTATATTTCTTTCACTTGTCTCCCTCTGAACACATAAGCATGTGCACCAAGAGCTAGGTTTACTGCAACACAGGGCTTGAGGTAAAAATAAAATTAAATAGGCTCTTGCAGTTGTGGCTTTCAGTTCTTGGAGGCTGGAGCAGGCTTTCAGGAGATGGAACTGCTGTATGAAACAAGAATGATGTACACAAACATGCTGGAAGATTCATGTGAAGTTTAAGCTCAGTGATGGAAAGTCTATGCAAATTCTGTCTCCCTGAGCCATAGTAGAAAAAATGGCTCCTGTAAGGAAATCTGTTTGTGTATGTTACTTATGAACGATGATTAATTTTCTTCTCCAGGCCTGGGTCCTCCAAGCTGTAAAAGCAATTTTCATGTTTAGCAGAAAATTATACAAGATGTGTTTCTTACTGCAGGCACAATTTATGAAACCCAACGAAGTAGCAGAAAAATCAATGAGGAAAAAGACTGATAGAGAACTGCATCCTGAGGAATCTTCATTGCATCTGTCAATAACTGGGCTTGACTAAGGAAAAACAGCACCAGAGATGGGATAAATCCAGGATACGTTACAACTTCTTTAGAATTCTAAATCATCTTCCGTCTCCCAAGGATTCTGATTCTGTGACATGCAAGGAGCACTTATTTCCAGGTTCAGACACACGTGAAATCTCATTAGCCCATCTCTGCTTACGCTCCTTTTAGACCCAGGTGCCTTTCCTTCATTGGTAAGAATAGTAGGAGCATGTGCTTTCTTTGGCCACATATTTTACATGCCCCCAGTACTCATGCTGCATTCGCAAATTACCTCCACTTTTTTGATCTCCCCAACATCTAGGCCCCAAACAGAGAATTTCTCTACAGAGCCATCTGCAAACTCGTCTTTTCCTTCTGGGAGATCCAGCCACAGCCTCTCCGTTTGCACTTTCTGAGGACCCATGATGATGATGTACACTCGGCTGTCAGTGCTGGAGTCGTATTCCGTGCCTGTGGTGACGGTGATGTGGTATGGGATCACTGCAACAAACAGGGGTGTAGTCAGCAGAGAGCCCCGACACAGACACATTTGCATGAGACTTCAGAAAAACAGGAACACATCCCACCAGTGAGAGCAGTTGTGTATGCTAAACAGGTTCACACCCCATTGAACTCGTCCAGAGAAGAGATCAAACCATGCTGCATCAGGCTACAAATGTGCATGGGAGACCAATTTCTCGTACACATTTGGGACTGAATTCTGCAAGGGGTAGTTTCCCCAGACAACTCTTCTAGTTGCAAGGTGGTGGTAAATCCAGATTTCTTCCTAACAGATGACAGAGCAACCAAGGGCTTGAATAGTTATTTGCACCATAGACCTTCCTGAAAATGAGACTGAGCACCTAAATCTGAAACAGGGTCTTAGACCAAAGTGATCTTACACTCAACATTCAATAAAGGCAAATACATCTATACTGACTTCAAGGTACACCATCACTGCCAGAGTGTCCTACTAGAACTGCAGATGTTCGCCTTTGTGTTTCATTCAAGGATTGCTGTGATCAGGGATTTTTTGCAAATCCAGGTCAATTGTGCTGGCCAGAAGGTTGGTGCAGCCCCTTTATGAGGACAGGCTTGGAGAGTTGAGGCTGTTCAGCCTGGAGAAGAGAAGGCTCGGGGGAGACCACAAAGTGGCCTTCCAGTGCCTGAAGGGGCTACAGGAGAGATGGGGAGGGATTTTTTATCAGGGAATGTAGGGATAGGACAAGGGGTAAAGGCTTTAAACTGAGAGAGGGTAGATTTAGGTTAGATATTAGGAAGAAATTATTTTCTGTGAGGGTGGTGAGACCCTGTCACAGGTTGCCCAGAGAAGCTGTGGAAGTCCTCTCCCTGGAAGTGTTCAAGACGAGGTTGGACGGGGCTTGGATTGACCTGGTCTAACCAGATGTCCCTGCTCACTACAGGGGGGTTTTTAAGGTTTTGTGGTCCCTCCCAACCCAAATCATTCTGTGATTCTGTGAGTAATCCTTGTACTAAAGGTAGATCACTCAATAATTTTACACTTTGAGTAATTCTATTGCTTAAGGGAAAAACCTTCAGGCCAAAGCTTGGGCCTTAACAGGTTCTCTGGTTTTTTTTAATTTCTTTTTTTAGACATTTCAGTTCAGCTGTTAAAAGGAAGTGCCAGACTGCTTTTCAAGTGCTTTCCAAAAGCTTGTTTGGATAAGCTGAGCAGGCTCTGCAGAATTAGACACTGAATACTCATCTGATTTCCCAGAACATTTGTGCAGGGCTGTTCAAACCCTTCTGACAACACTCAGAGCTCTGAAACTTGCCTCGTCACAGACTCGCAACTCAGCCTGGATTCATCAGCATTTTTTTGACTGGAAAAAGAAAGGTTTGTAAACCTTGACAAAAAACTTGGTTGGTTTCAAATCATCTGGGATTGACATCTTATTTTGCTTTATGATGACCAACAATATTTTTGGGATGAGGGTTGTACTAGAAACTCACATCAAGCTCAGAATATATGCGAGATACCAGGGAAGGCATGAATTCATGTTGATCAAACCTGTTCTTATCTCTGGATGGAGCAGAACCCAAAGACCTTCATCCAAGTCTGAGGATTTTTTGTGCCAACACAAAATGAACTGATTATTAGGCAATACTTATTCTCCCCTTTATCGCATTATTTACATTTCAGCGCACACATAATGATGCACAATGGATTCTTCACAAAATAACCATTGAGGCTGCTGGTATTAAGAGGAGAAAGGTTTCAGCCATAGGCAGGACAGATTTTATAAGAATATGTTGAGGGCTTTTACTGAGAATAGATTCAGGCTCCTCTTTTAAATAAAGTATATTGTAAATGGGGACAAAAAATTTTTTCATATAGTTTTCACTCTGTTTTCCTGTGACAATATTCACAGAACTACCAGCATTCCCAACTGATGTTACATCCTCAAGCCGAAGTGCTTGAAGCACCTATGTAAAAATATTAGAACTATGACAAATTGTTGTAATTTCCCACTTTAAATAATGGATACAGAGACATAGAATAGCTTGCTACAGACAGCAGGAAACGCCATTTGCAGTTCTTTTCTTTAAAAACTAGAGAAATGATCCTTCAGTTTGTTTATTTCCCTTCTCTATTATCTCCCTCTTTCTCTGGGACTCCCTAGATCTACATGGGAGAATGCAAAACCTGAGGAAGCGGCCACAGAACGGCACTGCAGATGCCCCAGTCCATCTCCCTTTTTGCCCCTGCTTCTCTGATTCCCTGTGCAGAGCTCAGGCTGTTTGAGGGCACATGTCCCCCTTGTAGGGGGTTGGGTTTCATTCAGGATGTAGAACACACCCTTTCCAGCACTGCCTTCCAGCACGGAGTCAGTTTCACCATCCAGAACCAGGCAGGTTCCTAGCCAACAGGACTTTTCTCTGTGCTCCACCCTCCCATCACCTCTGGGCCTTCATTCACCGTCTTGAGTGTGAGAGAGTGAGAGCTGGGCTGCTCACGTTGCCTCTTCTTTTCCCAGGCAACTCCCAGTACTGCTTCTCCTAATCAACTAATTAACAGCTGGCTTTTTATTCAGCTCAAGAGATGGCTGTCTGGCTCACGGAGTCCATCTTATCTGACATTCCTTCAAGATGCAATTTCCTAAACAAGGCCATGTCACTGCAACAGAGATAGTGGTGACAACAAGCTTCGGGACTCAGAGAAGAAAGACCACCCTGGCACTATGGGGATGGTGGGAACTATCCTAGCTCTTCTGGAGACACGTTCTCATGGGAGATGCTGATGCTTTACCCATTATTTGTGAAACTACATGGGATGCCAATGCGGCAGATGTTATCCATTGTGTCAGTGCAGAAGTAATGTCAGAAGGAACATGGGAATCACATTTTTCGCTTGAGCACAATACAGCATTACAATAGCAGGGTTGCCCCAAGAGATGTCGGCTGCAGACCACATTAAGCAATGGGCAGCGTTGTATCTGCTTCAAAACTCAAAGGAGGGGAACATGTAACCCAGGTATAACATCACAACAAGCTACTGGGCATCAGCTGAGCTCCAGTACCCATTTGTGTGAGTTCCTTTGGACCTTGTAAGTGAAAGCTATCTTACTTAAACTCCTAAGCCATTGCATCATTTTACGCTCGGCTTGCTAAGGAAGTTTAAGATAAGTTTAATTACTTTGTACTTGCTCTGGACTAAGAGCACATACACAGACAGCAACTGCCAATCAGCTGCTGCCCAGCTATTTGTTACAACACAGTATCTTAAATCTTAATCTAAAGCTAAAAGACCCCATGTAGGATGAACGCAAACCGTGGGTACAGTTTATGTAAGTCATTGTCCCGGAACACACAGTTAATCAAAAGGTATATAAACACAGAGTAAAAAACCTGTGTGGTAATAAAATTATAAGGAAGTATCAAAGGACTGGAGAAGTCTTCTGCAAAGGTTAACTCCAGTTGTTGGAGTTAATTCCAGGCTTCCTTCACAGCCAGGACAGAAACAAAACCCATACAACTTTCCCACTGTGTATGGGACACAGCCAGGGAAGACCAGCCTCCCTGCACAAAAGCTGGCCATTGCAGACACAGTCCAACATTTTTCACTTTTTATAATTTGCAATCCAGAAAGTGATTTTTCTTTTATATTCAGTTCTGTTTTGTCTCAGGAACCCAACAATGAAACTCTACACTAGAGCCACCAACTGTTTCCATCTGTTATTTGAACTGAAAACTCAGCAAAGAGTTCATGGACTCAACATCTCTCAGTTGACAACTCTGCCCAGTTATAAGTCAAACCACCTTCTAGACCAGACCATATTCAGCTGAGCATTCTCAGTCAAAGCTTGTTTTCTGAGAGCCAAGAGACCTACCTGTACTCTTGCTAAGTTCCCATATCCCACTCTTGTCCTAACCCAACAGCTGCTCTGATGCAGCTATGTGTCAAAAGGAAAAAAACTGAAGGGTTTTAAAATAAATCAGATTCAAATTCATATTAAACAAATACCATCAGTGATGAGGCACTACTAAACTGATCATGAAAAGGGGAGATGGCTTGGATGTGGCAAATAAAGCCTCAAGAAATTCAAAGCTGCCTTTGGGAATTCAGATCTAATATGCTATGTGACAAATCATCTTGAGTAGGTCAAAGAGATACAGGGAAGTAAAAAGCTGGTATCAGCAACAAGAACTGCTTTAAGGAATCATATGGGAAAGAGCCTCTGATAGTCTGAGGGAGGTTCTTTTGGTGATAACATGTCAACGCGCCTACTGTTCCTCTCACTGCAAAGAGCTTTGGCTCCTTAGAAGGACACTACAGACAGAATTATACAAAACTTGCATAAATTCTTCCCTTAATTCTCCTATACCATGCTCTTCAGAGGGCAGTGTTTCTTCTCCCCACCTCTGAAGTGATTTGTTATTACCCCTTCCTGTAAAGGTGCCCTGTACATACTACCTCATTGTGACAGAAAACAGCATACCCTTGAATAACCCCCTACCTACTGGTATTGTCATACTGCACAAAGCACCACATTGTTTGGAGAACTTACATCTGCTGGCAATGGAGAAATTAATCCTGACAAGCTACAACATGACAAATTTCCACAGGACAGGAAGAAGAGAGGTTGAAACACTGAAGTCAGTGTGAACTTCATGGCTTATTCCTCTGTTAGGGTTAGAGAGCTATCAGAAAAGCAAAAAAGAGAAACACAAGTGCTGATCCAGCCTTTCCCAGGGTGGTCCCAACACAAGGTGACGAGAAGCACTTTACTGTCCTTTCTCTTCTTTCCCTTCACGAGGATGAATGCAGCCTCTCAAGCATTGAAAGCCAAGCACACACACATGAAAGCCAAGCATACACACATGCATGCAGTCAAACACAGTGCTTACTCACGTGATCCTTCTTCTGCTGCCTTGACCAACCTGGATTTCTTCATCTCCTTCAGGTTTGTGTTGCTATCCTGGCTCGACAGGCTGAGAGATGAGTCATCCAGGCTGTTGCGCTCACCATCATAGCTCTATTTGGAAGGCATGTACAGGATGGTAACGAGGTTGAGTGTTCAAGATTTGTGCCTCCAAGAACAACGTGAGAAGAAATCCCTCCAGTTCCCCAAGTAGTTTTTTGCTTGCTGTAGCTCAAATGAACGTGACTTGAAATTTCCTGCAGGTCATTCATTTACTTCACTGGCAAACTTGACAGGCCATTTTGGATGTGTGTTAAAAGAAAATATAATGAACCTGACTGACCTTAATGGTGTGTTGTGACCGTTCTCTGCTCCACAGTTCTGGGCCCCTCAGTTCAAGAAAGACGGGGAACTGTTTGAGAGAGTCTAGCACAGAGCCATGGAGATGATGGAGGGAGTGGAACTTCTCCCCGATGAGGAAAGTCTGAAGGAGCTGGGGCTCTGCAGCTTGGAGGAGGCTGAGGGGTGACCTCATTCATGTTTATAAATATGTCAAGGGGGAGTGTCAGGAGGACGGAGCCAGGCTCTTCTCCGTGATGTCCAGTGACAAGACAAGGGGCAATGGGTGCAAGCTCAAGCACAGGAAGTTCCACAAAAACATTAGGAAAAACTTTTTCCCCGTGAGCGTGACAGAGTCTGGCACAGGCTGCCCAGGGAGGTTGTGGAGTCTCCTTCTCTGGAGACATTCAGAACCCACCTGGACGTGTTCCTGTGTGACCTGCTGTAGGTGATCCTGCTCTGGCAGGGGGGCTGGACTAGATGATCTTTCGAGGTCCCTTCTAACTAACTCCTAACATTCCGTGATTATGTGAAAAGGGCTGGTGCCAGATTTTCGTATTGGGGCACACACTGAGGTGTCAGAATAATGTACGTGGTACAGACAAAAGAGTATAAGAGGGAGAGCACCACAAAGCTGAATGGTAAGAAATGTCTGTTGGATCTGAAGAGTTGCTGCAGATGTGTTTAGTGTCATTGTCCAATAAGTGTGAGGCTCTTACCACAGAGTCACATAATTAAAAAAAAAAAGATTCGTTTTTCCTCATTATGAATTAGTATCAGCAATGGAGTAAGTGAGACCACATGCATTCATGACCTTGTCTGATGCCATTAAATGAAGGAGCACATGGCAATACTCATTCATGGTGTACCTCTTCTTACATTCTCTTGGTTGTACTCAGGATGAGTCTGGCCCAATTTCATTGATGGTAATTTTAGTGGTAACTTCCAATTAAAATGTCACTGTATTTGGCAAAGTGGACTCCTTAAATACAATGGGCTCACAATAAGCTGCTTTATTATGTCCTACTGTACAGAAGCAAGAAAGGTCTATTAATCTTTTTTGCTAATTATAATTGGTGCATGTACCTTGCATTCCAATTAACTGTATTAGCCTGATAAGGCAATAGAGAATGTTCAAGTAAAAAGGGCACTTCGCTAAAAGAAAAACCTTGGTGCTTTGAGAGGTAGCAAACAGGATGGACTTTTTATGTTTGGCAGTGGTGGAAAAAGGAGCTGAAGAGATAAACCCATCCAGTCCAGTGAAGACTAAGCCAATAGACCCAGTATTTTATCTTGAGGACTTTGAATAATGGGACCCATAATTAACCTACTTTGCGGGCACAGCAAGCTGAGCAGCAGGGAAGAATATACTGTACTGTGGACCAGCAAGATATTTTGACTTTTGGCTGAAGAGTTTCACTTAGACTCCTTGATTTTTCTTTCGAAATTGCAAATTGCAGAGCTACTTGTACTGGGCTGAGAGTGGCCATACATTGAGCACTTGGCTGAAAATCACAAGTTCAGTTTGGACAAGCCAAAAATCCCTAATAATCTGTCCTGGACTTCAGCCAAGCATTCAATCAGGTTTTTTCTCTTAGTAGCAGTGGGTTGTGATCATGGCTTTGAGCCACATCCATACCTGTTCATAAAGTGTACGCTCTATCTTCTTGTCCTCTTTCTTTTTAGAGAGCCAGCGCTCACACAGGAAAACAAATGACTCCTCCGTGGTCTCATCCAGGATCTCCACTTTCTCCAGGAACCAGTCAGGACTGAACATGCTGTTGTCATGACGAATCTTGATCTTGTACAAAATGCCAAGGTCCACAGCCTGGAGAGTAAACGTATCCTCCTGCAAGGTGTTCAATAGCAGTTGCTTCTGTGAAATGAGCTCTTAACAGATCATCTCCTGGACAAAAGCAAATAGAGTCTACAGAGCATAATATGCGTTTAAATTTTGTCTCACATGAAGGTGTTTAGTTAAAAGTTTTGCAGCAGTCTACAGCAGCATCTCTGTACTCTAAAACTTTTCTGCAGGGAAGGGGTTTGAAGTTTACTTCTGCTAAGAGGGTAGCTGCACAATATGTCACTCTTCAGCCAATTAGGATATTGAATTCCTGGAATTTTACATCCCAATTTTGAAGTCTAAATATATTTCCCTTTCCAGTCCAGTTAGATTTGTACGGGCAGTTTAGGTAAGACAATAATTGCCATTATTGTATGTAGGTATCTCTGTGAAGATGATTCACGCACTGACCATGGATTATCACTTTTGGAGTTATTTTGTCAAACACACCTACAGTTTAGGCCCCATCTATGGTGAATTGGGGGTACTGGTGGACAAAAAGCCGGTCATGGGCCAACAGTGTGTGCTTACAGCCTGAAGGCCAGTTGCATCCTGGGCTGCATCAAAAGCAACATGGCCAGGAAGTCAAGAGAGGTGATTCTCCCCTTCTGCTCTGGTGAGACCTCATCTAGAGTTCTATGTCCAGCTCTGGAGCCCCCAACACAAGAAGGACGTGAATCTGTTGGAATGGGTCCAGAGGAGGCCACAAAAATTATCAGAGGGCTGGAGCACCTCTCCTACAAGCTTAGGCTGAGAAAGTTGGGGCTGTTCAGCCTGGAGAAGAGAAGGCTCCGGGGAGACCTTACAGCAGCCTGCCAGTGCCTGAAGGGGCTACAGGGGAGCTGGGGAGGGGCTGTTCACAAGGGTGTGTAGCAACAGGACGAGGGGCAATAGTTTTAAACTAGAGCAGGGCAGATTTAAATTAGATGTTAAGAAGAGGTTCTTTACTATGAGGGTGGTGAGGCACGGGCACAAGTTGCCCAGAGAGGTGGTGGAGGCTCCATCCCTGGAGTTATTCAGGGTTGTGCTTGATGGGGCTCTGAGCAACCTCATCTAGTTAAAGATGTCCCTGCTCACTACAGGGAGGTTGGACTAGGTGACCTTTAAAGGTCCCTTTCAGCCCCACGCATTCTATGATTCTATTCGATGATTCTATGAATTACAATACATACATGTACACACAAATTAGTTGCATAGAAGCTATTGGAATGAGGGACCTCAAGTTTTGTGTGTTCTCAAACCTGCAGCTAGCAATTCCAGCCAGTTTATACAAATTAAACTCATATTTTGTCTGTCAGTGACTTCACAGAATCATCTACCCATTTGCTGCAGCACCTGTCAGTTGTAATACCCGGCTGACAATCCATACAAAGCATTTTAAGAGGTAATGAACATGGTGAATTGAATGAATAAATCAATCTACTCCTTATAGGAGATCTCAGTCTATAAAGACAGTCACAGATTCCTTAAACACTGTGAAACAGAAAGTGTTATTGGCCCATTACATTTATACCTGCCCTCTTTCAAACTTGTTGAAGTTCGTTTCAGATTTGCTGAGTTTTCTCTCTCCTGTGTCTCCCAGATCTCCATAGATATTTAGGAAAACATTAGCGTCTGTCCCAGCACCATAGATATCTCCAGTGAAAACACTGATCTTGTATGTGTGAACTGCAGAAAGAAATGGAGACATAAATTATTAAGGTCTCTCTTAGCTACTGAACACACCTAAGAAAATGATTCTGCTCATCACTCAGTTCTTGAAGGTCTAAAAATCCCATGTGATTTTTCCTTCCTGGCTTATGCTAAATGATCCAAAGACTGGGGAATCACTGGGATGAAATTTTCTGACTTTCCTTTTCTCCATCTATTCAATGCCTGTGTATTGCTTTGATCACGTAGTTCTCAGCAGCAAATGGAAAGAACCGTTACAGTTATTACTGTACGTGACATTGATAGAGGTGATGGAACTTGGCACCTTTTCATACCAAGACTCAAGGGACACACACCTGAGAACAAGTGATTCAGGATTAGTGAATTCTTAATACTCTATCTTCCATAAATAAACTCCAGGGATTCAGATATGCAATTGCTACCAGAGTTAATGGCATGTATCTCTATAAACTCCCCAAACAGAGAGAGAACAGATTTCTGGGTCCTTTTGCTGAGATAGTATTTAATTAAGGAGGTGTTGGAGCTGTTTTGTTTAAGTACCCTTCCTCTTTGGCTTGTTCAATGATGATCCAATAAAACCGCATCAAACCTTCAGTAATGTGCTTTACTAAACCTGTTAAATACTCCTATTTTTATTTTGCTACCATTTTCCCAATTACACAGCGAAAACAAATAGTTACCAGGTGCAATGTCAGGTTTTCTGGTTTGCCTCTTTGCATTAGGTTCTACAGAATTACAGTTTCATGTTTGTGAGACAACTACTACATAAACAATGAAGAAAGAAGTGCATAGAGTCTAATTAGTCAATTCATCCCTCTGGGGTTTTCTTGCCAGTTCCAGAGAACTTCAGGACTGAAATGCAGTTTACTATACAATAGATGATCCTCAGAATAACACAAGCTGATGCCCCGTTGCTGTAATTTACACTGTGTCAGTACCCAGGATGTATTTGGGCTCATAGAGATATAATTCTTGTCCCAGATATTTTACATCTAAAGCAGAAGTTCCCAAACTTAACCCTAGCTCCTAGCCAAAAGAAACTTTCAGTTATACAATAAACCTATTCCACGGACTGTAAAATTTGTTTTAAGGCTTTCCCTTTAAAATGAAAAAATGAGTCACCTAGGTTGGTTAACACATGGTAACTAGTGCAAGCTAAATCAGCACAAGTTAGTAAGTTTAAGCAAATGCCTCAAAGGCCATCTAGCAGTCATGCCACTTACTAATTTACATTAAAACTGTCTTGGCATCCATAGGAGGGGAAAAAGAGGACACCTCCCTCTTCTAAAGGCTCCAGCCTTCCTTACAGCAAGGCATCTCTTCCCTTCACAATGGAAAACACTGAAAACCTGTATAAATTCCACCCTGACAATGATGTACTGTAAATGCAAATCAAAGTCTGAGGAAAAAGAAACAGGGAGAAGAATGATTTTCTCTGTTGAATCGTCTTAGAGCCAGATGCAGGAATCAAGAATGAAGATGGCATCTGAATTAAATTTCCTCTGCTCATGACTTAGGAAGGTTCGTGACTTCTTTCAAGGGCAGAGGGAGCATGAGCTTGGAAAAGGAATTTCTAGAGGAAAATGAGCTGAGAACAGCTGGGGATACGAAGAAGCAGTGAGCTTAGGAAAAAAACTAAGTTCTTGTTGAGTTGCTTCAGCTATCAGGAGGCCCAAACATTGAATGTGAACACTTGACTTTCCTTCCTAGAAGCAATTCAATGAGGTGAGGGTGGCTGCCTAGAGCCAAATTTTTAGAAAGTGTCCAGCCGTAGAAAAAACAGTTTGGGTCAGGAAAGGAGGGGGCAGAGTGCAGAGAACAGGTCAAGTTGGGCAAACAAGTAAAAATGCTTGCAGAGTCTGGAAGGCAAGTTGGAAGAATTTTGTTAAGCATCAGAAGAGACATGTGAACTATGTCTGTGTTAAAGGGTGTCTGTGATAGGTTTATAAATGCCCTGTAGGAAAATAAAGGTGTTATTGCTCAGAAGTGCTTCAGGTATAACAGAGGCCAGAAAACAGGAAGGGAAAGAAATGTGAACAGTTGTACCAGTATTGCACTTGCTTGAACATGCACAGGGTTTGTTTAAAAACTCTGATGGACGGGTCTCTGTCTACTCCTAGGAGTGTATTACCTTCTAAGGGGTCTTCAACTTCTTCCTCTGTCTGCTTGAGTGTCCCGTCCTTCATGAGTTTTTCAGTGAAAATATCAGATGGTACCAGTTCTCTAATAATCTCACCGTCGTCTTCAGATTTTGCAAGCCATCTTTCACATGGAAATGTGACAGTTTCTGAGCCCTGAAGTAAACATGACAGAGACAATCTCTTCAAAACACTGTGAACATGTTAACATTTCCCCTTTGAAAATACTCTGACATGCAGGCAAGGATTTTCGGCTCATGTACGTATACATGTGTATTTGGATGCAGACCAAAAATAGTATATAGAGATGTATTTCCTCCAGAAAGAAGACATCTGAGGACTCTGACAAAAAGCGCTGCGCATGCAGCAGATAACAGTATTCCCAATGACTGCATAAGACTGACTGTATGGTCTAGTAGATCTTTGCCCTTTCTAGTTTCTGATGTTGCAAATTCCTAAGCAAGACTACACCATTTCCACTGAAGTCGTGTTTTACTGAAGCTCTGCAGTCCCTCTTCAACCCTTATTCAGGCAGCATTCTCTCTGAAGTCAGTGTTGTTGTCTCTTCTGAGTCAATACTTCAAGATTTTGCCCTATAATTCTGTGACTCAAGCTGGTTACCAGGCAATTCCCATACATGTGTTAAGAGGAGAAAAATAGTGATTTAATTTTCGATCTTTTGTTTTGACTTTACTTCGGTGGAAACAAATATGATTTCTAACATCAAACAAACAAAAACAATAGAACACGTGTTTTCCACTTGGTAAACAAAAATCAATCCCAGACTACTCATTAGGAACAGACTCTGGAAATGACTCCAAGATGGGAAGATGCAAGCGGCTTTCTGTGTGCTGGGCACCCCAGGCTACGTCTCCTTAAAGAGAAGGGCATCAGCCATCATGCAAGTTGCAGAGCCCTCAGGTCTGAACAGAAAAAAAAGAAGTTAGCTTCAATATTTTAATAACTAAATAAAGGAAGGGGGAAAAGGGCTCTTTCCTTACTGACAACTTCATAATTCCCCTCCTAAGCAGCAGAGTAGCCTTCTGCTGTTTCCAGTGCTCTGTGCACCATCACTTTCACATTTAACATATATCTGAACACCATCCACCTTAACTACTCTCATATGATTACTCACGAAACCTATACAGAGTTCTTTCTTCAATATTTTTACTATTTAAATACTATAATACTAATAAAAGAAGGGACAAATCAATCTGCAGGAGATGAACCCCTCCAGGGGGCTCATGTGATTGTCTTGTGTTGGCAGCAGAGTCATCCTTTGAACCCACACAGATCAAATCTTCTACTTTCAATATAGCAGATTATTTCTCCTCCTCTCCGTCACTCCCCACACTGCTGCGATTTAACCCTGGGCTTGCAACATTTAAACTCCAGAAGGTTATTTGGAGCACGACTTGTGCAAAATGATGTGAAAAAAACCCGGCAGCACTTCAGATGATGTCAAATACTTTATTTTCAAGTGTTATTTGTGCTGTACAAGCAAAACATAGCACCTAAGGACCAGCCATGACACTACTTCTGCCTCCTCATTTCTGCGCTGGTTGTCTGACCACATAACCCGCATTATCTCACAGGATGCTGAGCCGATGAACAGTGTTTATCTCCCCACCTGCAGCCTCGGAAGAGAGGGCTTTCCAGAACAATGATTCAGTCCTGAAAGTCTCTTTTCCTGGTTGAGATCCCACTTCAGTCAAGTCTCTTGCTGAAGCTCTTAACTGCTCCTAAACATTAATAATGTTGCTTCTACGTGTCATTGATATGAACGCCATTTATTTGGTAGAAGGATATCTGAGGACTTGCAGGGCATAATGTGCAGTTACTGCAAGAGTTAATTGTATCATTATTGCTAATCACTGTGACATTGCCACAGTTTGTATTGGAGTTTCCCTGTTAGTGATTGCACTAATATTTAAGTGACGTAAAGAGCACTTTTTTTTGTTACCTGTGGTAAAATCCTCTTGCAGTTACGAATGGAATTTGTTTTGTTAGAGCCAGCGTCTGGTCCCAAGCTAGAAGCAGGATATGGTAGTGTGCTAAAAGTCAGTGCTTTGCCCTTCTCCAGGTTGTAACAAATGAAATATAATTATCAGATATAATTGGCATGCCAAGACAGAGCTTTACTGGCATGCAACAACCCTATTTTCTACCCAAGCGCTTTCAATTTAATCTGAAAAGTTACTGACCTCATTTTTCTTTTGCAGCATTAGAGATACATCTAGACACCCCTTAGCAGTCTAATCAGGTAGCACAGCTTTTAGAAGCGCTGGCAGCATATTGCTATCCTGTGGCAGGTCATAATATCCTGCGGCTGATCAGTGGCATCACACAGCGCTTTGCTTTCTTTTTTTTTTTTATTCCATGCCATAATCAAAAGATCAGCAGAATTGTAAATCTCTCCATTTTAAAATTGTTCGTGGTTTTCCTCCCTTCCTCCACCCTCCCAGGTTTCTCACTGTCTGTCCTTCAACACTGCTGAGCCGCAGAGCCTTGAGACCCTTTCTGGGCTCGTGGAAGATCACCCAACACGGAGCTCTTAGAAGCTTCCCAAAGTGCTCATTTAATGGTAGGTGTAGAAAGATGCAGCCCAGGAGTCCTTTTCCCCTTGGTTTCCTTACCTTTGTACATCCCTTTCTTCGTCATTCTTAGCCTAGAACCCATGACAATATCTCTCACATCTGTGTCATCTTGTTCATTATCTTAACGAAGCCTTACACGAGAAGGCTTAGTCGATACATATAGTGTCTGATAATTAACTGAAAGGTGATCATGAGGAGCTATCAAGGGGTATTGGTTTGTGAAGCAGCTTGTACAGGTTTGAGGGGTCAAAGTAGACCTCTGAGTTGATTGTGAGGGAAAAAAGTAAAACATATACTGGACATTTTGAAGGAGGAACTGAGATGAGAAGTAGATTCACCACAACTGAGTAAGCCGTATTGACACTAACACTTGATATTAGAATCACTTCAAGAGTTGGTAGACCTGAGCATTGAGGCACAGATGAAAGCTGACATTCTTTTGGAAGGAGAGGAGAAGGGACAAGACAGAGGAGAGAGCCCAGGTATTTCCAAAGATAACTTGTATTTCAGTTCTGAACTGGTCTGTAAGAGGTGATTTTCTTCTGAATTTCCCTGCAGCCAGGTTCATCCCTGTTCCTGCAGCCAGCATCCAAAAGCAGGGATGAGGAACAGTTCCTTAGACAGACAAGATCAGGATAACCAATCTGGCTGCAGTGCCTTAAACCTGTCCTAGGACCTAATTTGATGGTTTTGATGTGAGGGACTCGGGGACTTGCAGTGACAGGAATTTTGCTTCTCCTAATTTTACTGGCTCCCTGCATTTATTATTCTAGAATTAGGGAATAGAAGAAATTATTTATTTTCCATGTTTGGTAAATATACTTTTTATTTTAAAATGGTGCGGACACTTCCCACTTCCTTTCCTTTGACTGTTCAAAACAAATCACTACTACAATGAAAATATGAAACATTGGCCTCTCATGCCACCCAAACTCACTATTATCTAAGTTAGCCTTGAGCACTCTGGGATGCCCATTGACAGTGGTGTGGTGCAGCACAGGGACATCTGCTCAGTCCTGTAATTCTTTAGCTATATTTGCACAGCAATGGGTACAAACTCAGGAATATCCCCTCTCAATCCAGAAAACAAGTCATGGTAACGTTGCCTCCAGAAAACCAGCAGGCAGATCGCTCCTTCACACAAAAGGTAAAGAGTAATGAAGACTTCCAAAAGGTTGAGGAGCAACATTATTGCCTTGTTCCCATCTGCTGTCTGGAGGAAATAACTCTACCCTAGCGAAAAGGTACAATGAGAACAGTATATTCTAAAAAAGCAAGTAGTCTTATAATCAACGTTGTAAGAATAAAACATGGTCAGACATGTTTATCTTCCCCAGGTCCCCAAGCACAAGCAAGTTCATTAGTGCACATTGTTCTTCAGGGAGACGTTTTTCACTGTTGATCACGTTTTGTCTACAGAAGATTCGCGTTGGGGAATGGAAGTGGCTGTTAGTGGAAACATATTGCAGTGTGCTGGGATTTGCAGCCTACCTTCCCATTTGGCAACAGCCTCCGAACAGCCACACGATCCAAATGCCATCCCGAGTTCAGTCCTCCACCCCTGTGTCCTATGCGGATCTTTTCAATAATATCACCAATGTCCTCCAGCTACAGAAAAAAAAAAAAGAAATATTATGGTGTGAATAACAGTAACTTTTGAGACACAGTTTCTTTAGCTTAGTTCCTATTTTTCCAGTCTGTATAAAATTCCAGAGGAGGAAATATTAATATTAATATCAATTATGCCCTAACTTGCTAGGGTTTCCTTGAACTTCTGTTCCAAAAATGGAGAGAACCTTGCTCGACATAAATTGCTCACTGTATGAGTTAAGTGTGGTTGCACAGCAGCAATCCTACATCTCAGACTTCCCTGTACAAGTGGGAATGAAGGTAATCCTTTAGAAATTGCAATGCTGCTGCATCTTAAATTGTTCTTTTTATATCTCTTTCCTTTTTTATACAATTATGTGCACTCTTATAACCCTGGAAGGATAGTTTTGAGGTCAAAGTACAGTATTAACAGCCTGGCATTTAATATTATGTCTCTCTTGTTCTCCCTCAGAATGCCAAGGCCATTCTGAGCAAGTCAACTTCTTATGAAATAGCTGCTGGTTTTTTATGCCTCATCTTGCTACCTGAGTAAGTTGTTACTAGTTCATTACTCTTAGGTCACCACTCTTCCAAAGGCTCAAGCAGGGAAAACTATATTTTCTCCTAAGTAATAGGATTTGGTTATTGGAGTGCAAGCTTTTGTACAGTTGGCCTTTAAAAAAACAAGGATAGCTGGCTACAAACCTCCTTTGCAGGAAGAGGAATCACACTGAGCTCTCTTACTGTCCACAGGGACTTGGAGTCTTTTTTTCCTGGAAACAAGAGCAAACTGAACATCTCAATTTGCACCACTGGAGACTACTCTCTTCTCTTCCTGTCTGAGAGAATGGCCCCATGCTGAAGCAATGAAATTAGTAATTGTAGAAGACTCCCCAGCTTAGTGAGGCTGACTGCGCTTATTCAAGGAATTCAGGCTCTGAACACACTGTGTTTGACTTTACCAGCCCTGCCCTGACTTCAGACAGCATAAGCTTCATAGCAAAAGCTTTATATGAGCCAGATTAATTTCAAAAACTCATGCATGCACACAAGTATATACTAGGAAAATTCATTTGCTCCTTTTTTGTCCTGTCCAAACACTCATCTTCCAGTGAGGCTTTTAATCAATACATAGCAATAAAGTGATGCTTGACTAGTAAACATATGAGTTAAAGAAGTAGCGATTTTCCTGCTGCTGGCATGTCCAGCAAATCTTAACTTGGGAGAATAGATGCGACAAGTCTCTCATCTTTTTTGTCTCTTTTGCAAAATACAAAATGGTAGAGGCAGTTACAAACACTAAAACAAATGAGTAAATCTCAGTTCATGTTTCCTGAGACCCCAAAATTGTTTTTAAGGTCTGTTGAATTCCAAATTATATCTCCACACAAACAGGTGAAAGAAGAATATGTTTTGCTTCATCCCCAACTCCTGCAGCAAGAGGAACTGGTGAAGAGAGAATGAAGATCAGGGACAGTTTAATATGATATTATAAATCTGGAGAACAATTGTGTTTTCACTCCATCTCAGAAAAGCACTGATGTTTCAGATTCTACCAAACCTAAAATAAATTATTCTGTGAATAAAGAAACAGTTTAAGATTTATGCCTATGGATTAGTGCAACCTCTGTTATGCAAAACTGTGTGGAAATTCCCCCAAATTAAGCCCTATTCTTTGTTTTTAAGGAATCACACTAAGGGTTTATATTATGATTCATGCCACATAACAACAATGTGGGCTGGAAGCATTTTACCTCATTAAAAAGTTTAGTTAAGATTTGCTTTCAATTAGAAAATCAAATCAATCTCAAAACACAGAGAGGCTGTGAGGTCCTCTACAAAGTCAGTGTTGGAGTCGCAGCCAGGAAGGGAGGGCAAGGGTGTGAAGCGATACCAAAATGATAGGTAAGAGCAGGACTGAGCCTATTTTTGTGTCTCACAAGTTCTCAGCACAAAGAATATCTTACAAATAGGAACTGCTGAATGCTGTAGACATAAATGAGCTCACTCATCAATGTGCACTAGTTTACTATTTGCATCCAGTTGTGCAAAGCACTTTGGGAAATACTTGATAAAATCCTTCAAGGATTTGAGTATTCAAAAATCAGTGTCTGCAGCAAAGTAATGGTTTCTGTTGGAGGACACAGAGAAAGAGAGCATGATGCCGAGGTTGCCATAAAGTCAGGATAAATGAATAGACCACCCACCCCTAAGGAAGTTCTGCATAAGTACTGAGACCTGGGACCAATCTCTTCAACATCATCGGCTAAAAGAGCAACATGAAGAGATGCAAAGGCACCTTGAACACAAAGCAACTGGTTTCAGTGGTGCTGCAAGCATTTGGTTTCTCTTACCTTCCAAAGTATTGCAAACCGCAAGAGAGTAAATAAGCAAGCAAATAAGAATGCTGAGGAGAGGTACACATATTAGATCTGGCATGCATCGAGACTGATACCCTCTCTTTATCAAGTGTAGCCTAGAAAATGGAAAATGCAGACCTTCCAACGTGGCTCTCAACCCTACCTGGAAGGGCAGGACTTCATATTCAGGTACTAGTATATCACAGCTGCATGACAAAATTGCAACAGCCTTTACAAGGCTTAACACAGAATTAGGCCACAAGAACATCACATGGTATCACCTTTTTGTTGCTACTAACTGGAGGCCAGTGAGAAAATATTTGACCTGGTACACAGTATGTCTGTTGCAGAACAGAGTTTTGAACCGACACTCTTTGAGAGAAAGAGCTGAGTAACTTTGTCTGAACACGGAAAAGTTCCTGCTTCTTTCCATTTTCTCTTCTTAATCCCCTTAAGGCAACCTAAGATGAGAGCAAGCATCTTTGATCTTACCTCAACAATGAACTGATTCACTGAGTTCCTTTCAAAATACATCCTTTGCTCTCTCTTGTTGAGGCACAGGGATTTCTGCTGAGTGCAGATCCCATCACTTCCATAGAGAACAATGAAGACATCTGCGTCTGTGCCAGCTCCAAAGATATCGCTGGTGTAGACTGTGATCTCATAAGGAACAACTAATTTAGGAAATGGCAAAAAATGTAAAGAAACCAACAGAAGTTAGTAAGTAGCATGTCAACGCTCTTAAGAAAATGTTAATGAAACAAAAATCAGGATTAGAAAACCCAAAGAGGACAGGGTAGGAATCATACACTTGGGGTCATTTAGTTACCGAGCTGGTGTGACTCTGAGAATCCAGAGGAATGTCCTTTAACCCTGTGCGGGATTATAGTGGATGGTTTTGTGAGGAATGTAGGTATGCACAAGTGACTGGCGGTTGAGGTGTAGGAAAATAAACACATCACACTCGATCGCTGCTAGGCCTCGAGTGCTCGACCAGCAGTGCGCCCACGCTTGGGTAACGGCACCCTGGGAGAGATGCGGGGACACCTCTCATGTCCCTGCCCTGCAGCGGGAGGGAACAGAGCAAAGCTGTCGTGTGGGTCCTGGGAACTCGGGCAGAGCAACGGGCTGAACGTGAGCAAGCAGCGGGAAAAAAACACCACAAGCTTCTGAGCACGGGGAGATCTCCCGGGGCCGGTGCTCCCGGGGCGGGTGCTGCTGCTGGTGGCGCTGCTTTTGCAGTCGCTGCCAGAGTGACCTGTCCGGGGACTGCTACAAAGAGTCTCCACAAATGCAAGGAACGAGGATACATTGGCTCTTTGCATTTCAGGCACAGCTTGTGGGTGTTCCTGTGTCCGGCCTGTTCCAGCCCACATACCTTGTAAGGCCAACCGACACTAATGCATGTTCATTTACTGAGACTGGGGTTAATCACACCACCAGAAAGCACTCATTATGTTTATGCCTGCCATCTAAAGTCACTGAAACAGGATGTACTTCAACAGCTCAAGTCTTAAAGCAAAATATGAATTCACAAGTTTCTGAGCAACTAGGCAGATGGATGGAGTTAAGCCAGCCGGAGGCAGTATATAAATATTCAGTATAGCCCTACCGATAAAAAAATCTATTATTTTCATTACTAAACAAGTGACAAAAATCAACCAAAAGGAAAAAATAATCACCCTCTGCTGTCCACTCTTGTGCAGTTTTTTCTTAGTGCCACCTTCTCCATAACACCGAGGCAAACAGGTTGCATTATTACCACATCAATTGTGAATGCAGAACAGTGAGGATCAAGTCCCTAAATACTTCCTTATTCTGTTCACTAGGATTTTCCAGAATGCCCCATCACCCCAAAATGTGATGTTTCCTTTTGTTTATTTTGTTCTTCACAGCTTCCCAGTCCCGAGTCCTGCTGGAGTCAGACTTGCTCAGGAGTAAGACTGACACTCTGTTCCTGGCTCTGCTAGAGATTTGCTGAATAACCTCAGTTTCCAAGGTGACTTGCTGTTTAGCTCACGGAGTGAGAAACTTGTGTTCAGATGTTGAGGCATGTTGAGGAAAGCCTTATAGCAGTTTTCCAGTGCTTAAAGGGGGCTACAGGGAAGACAGGGAGGGACGTTTTAATCAGGAAGTCTAGTGACAGCATGAGGCATAATGATTTCAAAGTGAAAGAGGGTAGATTTAAATTAGATATTAGGAAGAAATTCTTCGCTATGAGGATGGTGAGACACTGGAAGAAGTTACCCAGAGAAGCTGTGGCAGCCCCCTCCCTGGCAGTGTCCAAGGCCAGGCTGAACAGGGTTTTGAGCAACCTGGGCTGGTGGGAGATGTCGCTGCCCATGGCCGGGGGTTGGAATGAGATGGTCTTTAAGGTCCCTTCCAACCCAAACCAGTTTATGATTCTACATAATCACTAAAGTCAATACAGACATCTTCCTTGGGGTTAACCAAATCACTCTCCAAATCTACCCTCCATGAATGACCAGGTATTTATTGATGATAATGGGAATTCAGACACTCTAGTGTCATGACAATGTGTAAATTCAGGTGTGCCATTTGGCAAACAGAATCCTGTCCCTAAATTCTTTCTGAAATCTATAGATGAAAAATGCCAGGTGAGGCTTGGGCACCACTGATCACCAATCCCTGCAGTCCACATCACTACCCATAAGCACAGCCTTTGACACTCAGGACCTCCTCCTGGCCAACCCTCTTCCATAGACCACCCACCCAGCATCCACCACTTCCCATCCCTCACTACAGTCTTCTCAGCGACTTGTCATCTGCACCTTCCTATGCTGCAGCAACTTCAGCATTCTTTGTTATTTACACTGCAGCACTTTGCACTGAATTTCAGATTCAGCATCTCTGTTAGGGTAGAAAAGGTTTCTGGCACCGTTACTGTTGGAGTAACTCTGATTATGTGTACTGGAGACTAATCATTCATTAAAAACCTAGGCTTTCTAAATACAGCTCTCAGGAGAGCAGAGATGAAGTTGTTCTCCTTCTACAAAGAGTCAGCCTGGAGGTACTTAATATTCTTTCTGCCCAGCCCACTGAAATCTTCTCTGCTGTTCTGCAAGTAAACTGGAATAGTTTCTCCAGCACGTAAGGAGGGTGGAAAAAAATCCTGGAGACCAAAAAAATCACATGCTATGCATTTTGAATTAAAATGATCTCTGCTGAAGTCTGTGCCACTCACTGGTGTTGCTTGAATATTAACGTCGGCTTATAACTGAATCAGCAAAGCAGCACTGTAACAAGGTCACTAGCAGCACAACTTTCAGCTGTCAGACGCCTGTTTCATTTACATGGCACTTTTAAAGTTGTATCCCCACAGGGATGATTTTAATTGGACTGCCGTTGACATGTTTTTATCGTTTGTTCGGTGTGAAACAATTCTGGCACGAGTCATCATAAAACAAATCAAACCCTTTCAGTTACCTCTGGCAAAGTGAAACTCCCAGGTCAGTAGTCAGGGAACCGGAATGCAGTACATAGCGCAGTGGGAACGGTTTAGATGGTGAGAGAGCCTGATGCTGAGCCTGGCTCAACTTTTTTGCCAGAGAGACCTGACTATTTTCAAAGGCCTGAATGTGGACTGTTGATAAAAATCAGGTTTACGTGAACTATGTACTCAAAGGCATGCTATGCCAGAAATACCTACATCACTGTAATATACTGAGATATTAATAAACTATTTAGTCAAAGCACGCATCAACTGGGATAACATGGAAAAACCTGATGAAAAGCATTCACAAGGTCTCTGGTTATATTCACTCCTATGAATGCATTAACTATCTACAAATTTATTTTTTCAAATATAAAGTTTGTTATGTCTTTAAGTTGACTGACAAAAGTGATAAAGGGACCAGAGAGTAGCCATTCCTCTGCTCCAGACCATTTAGGTAAAGAAAGAAGACATGAGAAATAAAAAATAGCATGGAAGAGACATAAAGAGATGATGTTGACACAAAAAAAAATCCTCAGAGAAGAAAGATGATTTTAGCTTACAGACTGCAGGGTATAAGGAGATATTGAAAAGTCGGCCTGTGTGAAGGAGACCTTCAACACAAACCATTATGTTGATAGTAAAAAAGAAGAAGCCAAAGCAGCTGATAGTCTTCTGTGTGGCTATTCTCACAGCTACTTATGAAGAAGGAAACTGAGGCAGAAGAAGAGAGATTGGGCACCTCTAACTTTAGATGTCTAAGCAAGGAACTGAAGGGGAGGTATAATAGACGCATATGATACTGGATGCAATGAGGTGAGAGACAGCTTTGGTACAGCAGGTTGTCGCTTGTTCGGAGTGCCCTAGGAAGAATCTGGCAGGGCATAGGGTGGAAATCAACTCGCAGGTTCCACACTTTGTCCCTTTTCATTGTGGCATTCAACCTAAGAAAGAGAAAATGCGATTCCGATAGTCCCTGGAAGGTGGGCCAGAAACTACTTGTTGACAACTTGAAATGAAGCAGATCGGGGAAGGACATGTCAACTACTGTCCAAAGGCTGCAAGTTCCCTGCACACAATCAAGGATGCACGCGTGGAAAGCAAAAGAGAGGGCTACAAAATAAGGGAAATACTGTTTTGAGTCATTTATTTCAAAAAATGCATGGTGTCTGATTCTCAGTCATCTGGAGACAGGAGAAGAAGCTGCCTGAATAGAAGAGTTTGAGGTGCCACTGCAGACTTGAAAATTGAAAGCTTAATGCTCTGAAGGAGATCCCAAAAGACATTGAGTTTAGCCCAAATATTAATTTAGAGGGGAGTGAAATGAAGAGTAAGGAAAAATTGGACAGCACTAAAACAGGCAGACTGGTGCAATGCTATTGGAAAGCACCAAGCTGAAGAAATTCTGGAAGAGGATCTTTCAGGAAAAGAAGGGTGTGCAATGCCAAAGGCACTGGGGGAACCAAGGCTTGGAAGCAAGACTGAAGTGCCTGCTTTGACATGAGAAAAAGCAATATCATAATGGAGCAAGATCAAAGGGAAACTGGAGACAAGGAAGACAGCTTGGAATGGGCTAAGGGCTTCGAGATGACATGGCAAGAGAGAGAAAAGACAATCAGACACAGCCACATGGCTCCTAATGACTCTCTGAGTTGCCAAGTAGAGGAAGCGTTGGTCTAGAGCAGCCAGAGGAACCTTGCAGTAATTGGAATGGTTGGCATGTGATGAATTTATAAATTTTTCAAATCCAATTCAAGCGAGAGGCCAAGCCTATAAAACTGCATGAGCTAGTGAGTTGTTTAATGGTGGGTGTAACCTGGGGAAATGGCATTCTGCTCACATGGTATATATTCTCTTGTCTGCAATTCTGCAGGGAAGATAATTCTCTCAATGGCTCCATCATCCTCTGATTTATCCAGCCAACGGCCACATGGGAACTTGAGGCACTGTCCCAGTGATGGGGCATCAATCTCCACCCATTCCAGAAACCAGCCAGTTGAATTACCTGTGGTTGGAGAGATAAACAACAAATAACCCACAATGCCTTTACAGACAACATCAAATGAGTCACTGCATTCCAGAACTCTGAGAAATAAATCATTCTCTTTTGCCAGTGGCAAAATAGAATAGATACCATAAAGGTCATCGCAAGTGATTGTCCAGGTTTGAGCTTATGTGCTTTACATTTCTATATGAGTCAGGTTAAAGATGTGCACGTGGAAGTGCTAATTGCTCCATCACTTGGGTTAATTTGTATTTGTAATAAGGCAGGAGAGTTATGAATAAACATGCTCCTTAGTGGCCCATAGGGAAGGAATGCTTGTGTCCTTCCACTGCTTCCCTTCTTTGTAGTAGAGACGTGGCCATGTCTAAAAAGCAGCCAAGTCTTCTTGATCAAAACAACAAAAATATTGAAAAAGAAACAAGACAAGCCTATAGGTCTCATGTGCAACAAGAAAAACTTGTTGTGTATGAGAAAACTCTCTAAAGAGCCTGTTGCAGAGACAGGGGTTGCAAAGCTACCTGCAAGTTGCCACTACTGTGCTCTTATTTGAATCAGCCACAGGAATGGTATCAGCAGCAAAGAGAGTAGCAGCAACAGAGAGCAGCAGCAACAGACAGCAGCAGAGATCTGTCACCAAACAGTAAATTTCATTTGGGGTCTTCGGGCACATTATTCTGTACAGCATCGTGACAAATGCACTAGAAATACTATATTATAAAGTGGATTGTCTTACCTTTATTGTCATGGCCTATCTTGATTTTTTTCAGGTCTCCAATGTCCACGGACTCCACTGTAAACTCATCTACCTTCCCACGCTCAAATTTGTTCTTGTTAATCTTTGAGGCCTTTAGACTGACTATCCCTGTTGAGGCGATGCAAAAGGACAGGGTTCACCATGTGAAACAAATCCTCTGGGAATGGCAACAGTGCAATGAGGGAAGCAGCTAAAACCTAAAAACCAGCTTTTTGTCCCGAGGTCTGAACCTTCTCCCTCTCTTTAAACCTAAATCGGCATCGACACCCAAAATACACAGAATTCCTTTCCTGAGTGGTCCACTGGCAGTGCCACAGAGAGATGGTGGTGCTGTGCTGTGTCCACAGCTAAAGAAACTGGTTCTACTCGTCAGCTCCTGCCACTCAGACAGGCATCTGAGTCTCTGCACAAACAGCTCGACTGCTTCCAAGAGGATTTGCTCCTCAGCTGATTAAATACTTCTGGGCCACTCGAAGAGGCAGAGGAGAGCTGGGTTTCAGGAGCGTGCTGATTCATCGCTGAGGAAAGCAAATCAGTCACCGCATTCACCACTCAGAAACGTACTCCCAGTCAACTGTGCTGTTTCTATAATTGAAATTAAAGCCTTTAGATCAGCAGCTGGTGCAAATCAGCATTGCAAAGCTCTGCAGTGATCTGCAGCAGCTGGTGGTGTGCTCTCAGTTAACGATGACGTGCCTGGAGACAGGAAGAGCTTGAAGTTGTACTAAAAAGGGGTGAGGAGTGGGTATCAAGGGAACAAAAGGAAACCATGACCTGTCTTTTCAGGTATCCAGTGGTGAGGAGTTATCCTGTTCTACCATGTGAAGTCATACCTGTATCGTCTTTACTTCCATAGAGAGTGATGAAGACATTGGCATCTGTCCCAGCGTTCTTCTTGTCCCCAGTTTTCACTTTCACAGTGTATGTTGTTGATTTAGCTGTCAGATAAAATATCTTAATTTAAGAGCGTGAAGTCTGAGCAGGTATTTACTTTTCATTGCATATGTGTGATTCGTTAGGGTTTGGGTTTTTTGACCTATTGCAACCGTTTTGTAATCTCTAATTCCTTTTTTATGCTATGGTAGCTCCTGGGGTGAGCTAGTTTATCTGGTTGCAGAGTCTTCTACTGCTTCAGTCATTCAGTACATTGTCTGCACATCTACAGATAAGAAATGTGCTCAGGCCTTCTCATTCGCTTCCTAGGAATCTCTAAAGCTCCTAAAATCTGTCTCTGCCTATACTATTTCATTAAAAACCCCACATCCGCCCCTTTATTCTATTAACACCAAATAATATGCATGCAGATAACACATACCAGAAGGTATGTGAGCTTTGACATACACAGTTCATATTCGTGAACATACTCTTCACAATAGCATCATTAGGGAGGTTTCTATCACACCATCATCTAACAAGTGCAGCAAACTCACAAAAAATGTGGAAAAGTCTAATATAGTCTTCACTTTGCTGCAATAACCTACTCAAGACTTCCACATTCAGACACGTTTCCAAGGTGCTGCTCAGCCAGAAGGTCTTCCTCAACCAAAGAGATATCCAATTTTTGGAAATTTGTTGGCTATACAATTTGCAGAAATTATTAATGTATTCAAAAGCATCCAAGGGGGGAAGTTTAAGAACTTTCACTGGCAATGAAGTCAATGGAAGTACTGGGCACTCAGCATCAAGCCCAGGAGTATGTAATTGCTCTATAGTTACTGTGCAAAATTATGTATAAAAAGGTACAGCAGTTATGTCAGAGGACAACGGACACAAGCAGCAAGGTGGAAAGTGAGACAGATTTAGGTCCCTTCCCATTCTCTGGTCATGTTTGCTCTCTTCTGTTTCATGTTGAAATGTTTAACCATTCCAGCACGTGATGTGGAATGACCAGGATTTATGCCTTAGATATGAGTAATGAATGTGTGTTTCAGTTGAGAGATTATGGCTGAGCATATTACCCATCCTCCTAATTTTCTCACTTTGGGTCCAACTCTGCAAGATGATTAAATCACCTAAAAATGAGGAATGTCCACTCCTCATTGGCTGACACTTTCTTAGCACTTCATTTACACCTGAACACTTCACGGTGGAGCAGAATTACTCACAACCCAGTGAATGCTAATCGTTAATGCCCTTAGCAGTGCTAATAACTTGGTTCCTTTTCAACCCCACACTGGAAGAAATACAAGGCTAACATAAACCTTTCTGTTCCAGGCCCAGCGTTGCAAGAGACTGGCCATCATTTCCCGAATCTTTCTTTACAAATGCTTCATCCACTGGGACCAGCTCCCTGACAATCTGACCGTCATCTTCCTCAACTGCTAACCACCGCTGGCATGGAAAATAATACCTATAAGAATGACAGCAGTACCCAGCACTTACACAGGACTTCACAGGCTTTAATAACATAAACAAGCACAGATCAGAGGCTACTTAGAAAACAAAACAAAAAACAAGATTACTGAAAGCTGAACAATACATCTGTTTCCATCCTTGATCTCTGGCATTGCTTGTGGGTTCTAAATCCATAAATAGGTTAGTGAGTACTTAGTGGAAAATGCTGTTTCTGAGCTGTTAGCCCCATATGATTAATTCCTTTTAGTTTTCAGTCCCAGGAAAAAAAAAAAGTTAAATAACTCAAGGGAAACTCTGGTTTCCCAAGCATTTAACGCTTATCCAGACTGGACCCATCCTGAGGTCCTTACGAGCACTCCCACCCACCAGAGTACTGTGCAACTTCTGAACATGCCACTTCAAGTGTGTGACTTAAACATGTGAGCTTCTGGTTCAAAAGCAAGTGAGCACTTCAGGTTTCTACTGGCTTAGGCTTTGCTCATCCAGCTGTCTGTGAAAACCAAGGGAATTTGCTTGGATTATGACTTGTTTTGGGTCCAGGTCTTTGTAGTAGGTGCAAAACACAAACGAAATATGAGGTCAGGGACTTCCAGAGTGAAGCCCAGAAACAAAACGCATGAGCATAGCTTGCTCTGCAAGGGTACCTCTTCAGGAGAAAGAGAAAGAATGAGGTTTCCTTCCAAACACTGCTGGTTCCTGAGCTGCAGAGTTGCTGGGACAGCTAAACACCACACAGAGGTATGCCAGGGTGGCACCAAGCTCAGTATAACAACACAATTCTCACAAGCCTCATAAAGGATGCCTGTTGGCTGTGAGTTGGTGAGGAGGTACCATGATGCCTTTCTGCACCTCCTCTGCCTCCCCACAGTTCTGCAGGCTCCTGAGAATGTGTCCCATTTTCTAACAGGATGAAAAGGGTGCAACAGGCTGCTCACGTGGTGCTCTCCTTGAGGTCAACAATCTCTACCCTCTCCAGGAACCAGCTTGGGCTAGCACCAGAGTTATCGTGGCGGATCCGCAGCTTCTTCAGCTCACCCAGGTCAATGGCTTTGATGGTGAACACATCGACCTGCACAAGAGGTAAGAGGCAAAAAGACCGTGTTTCCCAGAAAGGAGGGAAGGCAGACAGTAAATGTCCAAGGTTAATCTTTTTTCCCATCAAAAAAAGAGGTGTTTCTGGGTCCACCTTGTATTTTTGGGGTGGATGTACTAAAATAACGACAGAGCTCTGAGCTCTCCCACTAAGACTCATGCTTGACTCCTACAAGATAGTAAAAGACATGGAGCTGCACAACCCTTCACTCCTTTCTTTACCTCTTCTCCACTTCAAGTTCATTTATGTTTAACTTATTTGTCCTGAATCTCATTCTTTCCAGGTTGAATCTGGAACTGGACACAAACGTATTGGCTCCGTGAAAACTCCTTTGTGCACCTTCATGTGCTTTATTTCAAATCACACATCTTCTTCTTTTTGTCATTTACTACAACCAAGACGTTCATTTATTAGCTGTATTAGTGTGACAGGATGGTCCTCATTACCATAATACCCTAAATATCTTAATGTGATTAATTCGCTGGTAGACTTTGGGTTTCTACTCCCAAGAGAAAACAGCACTATATTTGCAGCTTGGAGCTCTTCCCACTGAATGAAGAACCATGTGCAGGTTGCAGTTTCACCAGTGCCAAGCTCATAAATCACAGCTAACAGCTTATTTCACAACCTTAGAATCTTTTTTGGCTTTTTTTTTTCCATAATTTTTTGTCATTCAAAATTATTCCTTGAACAATTCCTAGCTATAATAGTAGATTGTTAATTGTCCATAAACATTTTTATGGCAAATATTCAATCTACAAGAGATGTTGCTTAATTGGATTTGATTCTAATGTAGTTATAACACAACATGTAATACTACTTTTATTCCCTGACTCATTGAGTAGAACATTTAGACTCGCATTTGCAATCTAAATACTGATATACCTGAGCCGCCTCACAAATGCTCTCCAGTACTGATTTAAAGTTTGTGGTTTTCAAGTATTCTTGGCAGGAAATATTATTACCATAATCCTTACAGGAAACAGATGCAAAAGGTGGCTCCGATATAGAATTGGTGTTCGGCTTATTATTCAAATGAATTTCCCCTGGAAAATGTTTTCAGGCATTTTCCTTAAAATAAAATATTTAAGAAATAAAACGCATCTGAGCTTTAAGCTGAAAGAAGCCAAGCCTTGCAGAGAAGAGACTGTAACGAATGGCCAGCGTGACGACTGAGAGAGCCTTGCCAGCCTTCTGCTCACCTGGGTGAGTTGAGTTCAAGCATTACCTGGCCCTTTTCAAACTTGTTGAGATTATTCGACCTTTTCAGCTGGCGCTCACCCGTGTCTCCTCTTCCTACGCCATAGATGCTCAGGAAGACATTAGCATCTGTCCCAGCCCCCCACACATTCCCAGTGAGAACGTGGACTTCGTACGTATTCTCTGCAAGGAAAAATTGCAAAGGCAGATCAGGAGGACCCCAGAAGCAGCCATATTTCATCAGGTCTGCAGCACACTGTGAAAGCGTGTAGCCCAAAAATACCAGCACAAATGGCTATAGGGAAGACTTTTTCCAGAGTTTGTTTGCATCTTAAAACATGAGCAGCTCCATCTTTCTCCAGCCCTTGTTATTAACCACGTAGTCACAGCTTGCTGACCTTCCAGTCCTACTGGTGGCTGTAGGGGTGGGACTTGTAACCTAAGTGCTCCAGACGAGCGTTGGAGAATCCTACACAAGACCCTTGGGATACTCTCATTTCAGGCTGCCTCTCCCATCCTCTACCCCAGTTTAACCACTGTCCTCTTCCTCCCCAGAGCTGATCAACCAAACCACTGATGCTGCAGGCCTGGGGCTGTGGCATGGCTGTGGGCCATCAATGGTCCAGCAAAGCACCGCAGTGTGATTATATTATCCTTCATGCAACTGCTCTATCCACACACATGCTCATTCCCTCTGATATTTACCCTCCAGGGCAGATTCTTCATCAGGAATCAGCTCCACCACAAGCTCCTTATCTCCTTCATCTTTAGCCAGCCAGCGGTGTGCCACAAATGTATAGACATCCATTACTTCTTCCACCTTGGTCTCCTCTTCTTCCTCCTCTTCAGACTTCTTTTTCTTCTTTTTATCAGACTCCTTCATCTTCGTGGAGAGCCGCTTCAGTGTGACACTCTCCAGGAACCAGCCATCCCCAATGCCTTTCCCATCATGGCCTATTCGAATCTTATAAATCTTGCCAACATCTGCAGCCTCTCTCTGCCACCAAGGGAAAGTCAGCACCCAGGAGGATATAAGATATCTTAGCTTCATAAAGTGCATTCTTAAAAATGAGAAGCATCACCTTTATCATTCAAAACATCTAAGCAAGGATAAGATCATTTTTTAATGCAAGTTTATCTTTACTTTTTCCTTCCTATTTTATTTTTTCATAGTTTGTATCACCAAATCTCATCTGAACAGTCTGAACTGAAGACATTCAGAATAGCCATGATGAGAATTGGAGCTGAATCCATAATTACCAGGCTTCTTACTTCACCACTGCTCTACCCACCAACACTGTCTCTATGATGACATTGAAGATGAACATGCCAAAATATCATACCATTCTTTTAGAGATTACCAGTGTCTGAGGTCTTCTTAAAATTAATAATAAGATACATTTAACACTTAGCACGAGACATGAACCACGTGAGAAACTATGGTTTAGCAAATAGGAAATAAATTTGGGCTTATATAACTTGATCCATGGGATTAGGCTGCCCTTCTTTCTTTCTCAACTGGAAAATTAGAAAAGTGTCTTCTCACTTTGCTAGTGAAGATACAGTCATTAGTGACCACAATGCATCACTGACAGAAGGCTGTATCAGAAAGACTTCCATCTCTCTAGTCAATACAACAGATACCAAAGCTTATTGTTTTATGTTATTTGTCTGGATTACTACCTAACAAAGTTGGACAGAAGGTTTTCCTCCACAACAACCGATGATTTATTTCTGATGATTGCTCATGCTCTTAGGCAATGTTCACATTATGAAACTTGCAAACACTTGCTTCGGGCTGAAATCTGGCAACTTGGCATATAAGGTTTCAGTCTAGAAGCAATTTTTCTACAGTAGATTAAAACAAAATCAATTGCACACAAGATGCTTATCAGAAAACTAAAATTGATCTGGCTGTACTAGCATAAATAATGTGTCTTTCCTTACACCTCCTTACCCCTAGACTTGCTATAATCATCCTACATTCCGTGTCTATTACTGTTGGCAATTCCTATTAGCCTGTAGCTCACAGAATCTTATTCTTGCCCATATCCTTCCGTAAATATTCATATAATGAAAGAGATAGAGGATCTGGCCATTTAATGCTTCAGAGCTTCTGCTCTGTGTGCTCATAAAAAAACCTCAGACAATGGGCAGAACTTTAAATTCCAGCAATAAACATCTGAGAGAGGATATAAGCATGGCTATGTAAACAGAACAGTATACATATGGCTTTATTATAAACCTGATATTGGCTAACAGCTTTTGCTCATAAATTTTGGAAAGCTTATTTCCTTTAAAAGAAGAACGGCCTAATCTTAAAATTATAGAGAGTCTTTAAAAAGCAAGCATTTATAAGGTGCTAGTCATCTTAAATCTCAAAGAACTCATTAAAAATGGATAAACATTGCTAAGTCCATTCTATAAAGCAAGAGACTGAGACAGAAAGAGATGAACGATCTCAAAAATACCTGCCATGAAATTGTGGTACCCTGTGGGTAAAGGCACCTCCATCTGGCCAGTGACAATGGGGAGGATGCCCCAATCTTGTCAACTCCGCAGTTTCCACGATTAGATACAAGTAAGTGCTTAACTGTAATGAGATGGATCCCTCCTCTCTGGGACTGCAAATTCCCAAGGAGACCTAGGCCTCACTGTGCTGAGCCTTGTGCTGCGAACACATGCAACGGAAGTGCCTTAAGTCCTGCTTCCATCTGGACTCTGCTCTTTACTGTCCAGATGTTGGTGTCTCCAGAGGTTACCTCAATGCAAAAGGATGTGACTCTGACATGCCCCAACAGCACATCCTGTCCTTGCTCTAACCCCATATCAAGACATGAACTGAGATGATTCCTTTCCTCTAGACTTCGGTTTGTCTGGACAGAAAACCCAAGCAGGCAAGCGGGAAAAGGACAGCAGTTCAACATAGCCGGGTCCTGCTTAGGACAGGGTGTCGTCCTCAGCCTCCTCAGCCCAGGACCTCTTACTGGAAATTAAAACCCTCCTGAAAACATCGGTAGAGGACATCAGATACCAACAGACCTGGCAATTTTGTTAAGTGAATTCTTTTACACAATCAGGCCAATTCCTGTTGATGTCTTAGTTGGTCATTTGTTTCTCCTCACAGGAGCGGTAACGACTGCCTTCATACCTTGAAGATATCTGTGGCTCCACGTTCAAAGTTGTTCGATCTGTTTTCCAAGGTAATGAGTTCCGTTTTGCCAGTCTCGCCGTAAATCTGCATGAAGACTTTGGCATTGGTGCCTGCAGCCCGCACATCTCCAGTAACAACAGACACCTCATAGTTTATCACTAGTCCAAAAATAAAGCAATTAAATCAGCAGAGATATTCCTGAGGGCTCAGGTTCCAAATTAAATTACCTTCTCTTAACAAACAGCCACGCAGCTGACCATTTGCTCTTATCCAAACCAAATGTGAGATAACACAACTCTTCACTGAGGGCTAACAATAGTTTTCCTTTTGCAAGTATTAAGCCAGTGTGAGAGGTGTGCAAAATAGAGCCTTAAAATGGAATTTCATTTCAGTATTAACTATAGAGTGGTTAAATTATCTGCTTAATATAATGCAAGGGAGGGAGTTAGCCAAATACAGCATAGCATCCTTTCTCAGTATCCCAAGGCAAATTTTAACCACAACCTTACAAGAAAATACTACTATAAAAATCAAATAGACAGTAGCGATTTGCTCCTTATTTACCAAAGAGCCTCCCTCTTCTAGGCATTGGGGTAATACAGGAAGGACGGGACGTGAGCTGGGGCAGGACAGGAGCAACGGGGTGGGTAAATGTGAAAAAAGCAGAAACCACTGATATTGTAATGAAGGAAGCACAGTGCCTTGTGCTGTGTTACACTGCCCAGGACATAAATTTTTCATATAATCTCAGGAAACGGAGGTGGAAATCTCTCTAATGTTTTCCCAACTGTTTTAGAAAACAAAACAGGAGACGAATAATTTACTTTTCTCATGAACATAAGTTCTTTGAGACAGGGACCTTTTTGGTTTTCATGTCTAAGCTGGCCCTTAAGAATGATAGTAGTACAAATTTAGACCTAGCTATTAAAAAAAAAAAAAAATGCACACATTTCTCAATGTGTTTTATCTCACATTTCTCAATAGGCACAATCTCACTTGGGTAGACCTCCACCTCCACCCTGCCATCAGCTTCATCTTTGTCAAGCCATCGGTTGCAGGGGAACATGTACTGCCTTCCCTGGACTGGAACCGTGATCTGGACACTGGCCAGGAACCAGCCAGATCGGAGACCCACGTTATCGTGTCCAATCAGTATTCGGTTGATCTTTAAAAAAGCACAAAAAAACCCAGAGGGCAGAAAAAAACACTCAACACAACAGAATTTACATAGTACATAAAAATCTCCTTCTCCTGGTACTGTATTCTTCTACCATGTTCATGTAAATAATTTATGTATGTGTATAATACTAAACTTAAAGCAGTCTTCACCAGCCATCACGTACGTTAGATTGTTGAAGCAATAGAATCATATAATAGTTTGGGTTGGAATGGACCTTTAAATGTCATCTAATCCAACCCCTCAGCAGTGAGCAGGGACATCTCCCACTAGATCAGGTTGCTCAGAGCCCCCTTCATCCTGACGTGGAATGTTTCCAGCCACCTCTCTGGGAAACCTGTTCCAAAAAATCAGTCAATTCAAAATCTATTTCTTAATATCCAATGTAAAGGTTGGAGATTCTTACATCACATCGAATGCCGAGGGTTATACTGATTCTGCATTCAGATGCTTGCACTAGGTACAGAGCCACCTGCAATAAATTCTTACCTTCCCAATATCCATCATATCTAGAGTAAACTCATCCACTCGACCACGTTCAAAATAATTGCCTAGATCATTATCAGAGACTAAGAGAGCCTCTTTGCTGGAGTCTGCTTTTTCACCGTAGAGTTTGATGAAAACTTTGGAGTCTGAGCTGGCACCAGGGATATCTCCTGTCTTCACGCTGATATGATAACTGACATCTAAAGGGAGGATCCATGTACAAAACAGAGACATGTGAGTAGCATTTCCAATGCTCAGCCAGGCTTCAAACAGTTATAGGGGAGGGGAGTGGGGTCCAGCTACAGAAACAGAAAGGACTTTGCTTCTCCATTCAGGCATCCAGCATCTTATGGCCACACTCAATAAGCTGTCACACTTTGGAGTTATTCACCAAAACATAAGAGATGTAGCAGTTACACAAATAAGCAGAAAAAAATCCTGTAGTCCTCCCTCTCATCAAGCCCTAAAAATGAGCTTAGGCAAGTGAAGTGATTTCATTTTTTTATACTTACAATTTAATTCAATAGCTTTGGCATTTTGTCTAAAACAAAACAAAAAGCACCTCAACATGATCTCTCTAAGCAGTGTTTTTTAAAGAAAATTGTGGTATTGGAGCCCTGGTTTTCTCGTAATCTTTTTGGTGATTTTCCTCTGGGAACAAAATGTTATTTGATAGAATTTAATCTACTGAAGCAGTGACAATTCAAAATCTTTCAGAGAAAGCTAGACAGGAAAACAGTTCTTAAAAAAATTATGACATTAAAAATCAAAGTTTCTTTCTACATATACAATGTTGCAACTACTCTCTCTTATGCAAATTAATCTCATTCATAAACTAGGATTTAAGGGTCAGAGGCATTTACCCTGGAGTGACCTACTGCAGCTTCGCACATAAGAATGGCAAAAAAAAGCCCAGTAGATTTACTATGAACTGACATGAATTATTAAGGAGAAGAAAACAAGTCAATTAATGCATACACAGCTCAAGCCCAGATGTTCTTTTTTTTTGCAAGCTAAACTCACTTTTTAGCATTGGTGACTCCCCAGCAGGCACCAGTTCCCGGACAATCTGACCATCATCCTCATTTTTGTCAAGCCATCTGGTTTACAAACAGAAGTAAGTTATCTCTGAATAATTAGGAACTGTTAGACCTATCAAAAGCTGGGCTCACACAGTAAGAATCCACACTGTAGGCAAAAGGCTCTGTATCTCTGTCAAGTTTGCAAGAGTTTGACCAGACCCTGCAGCAGTCACACTTTGAACCTCCATTTTTCCAAGAAGAGAGATCATGAGAGCAGATAAACATCTGCTCTGGTGTCCATCTGTCTGGAAAGACAAACGTCACAGTTTTTCCTGTAAATGAGCAGTCTCTTGACAGCATTGACCCCCATTGACCAGAAATACTGTCAGCTTTTATTACTAGCCACCTTGATTATAAACTTTATAGCATTTAAGTTACTAAAAATGATCCTTTTAAAATTTTTTTTTAGTTTGTTTACTCTGATTTATCATCGTGTTTCCCATCCTTGCAGGTAAGTATATAACCCCTTTTTCTCCACCAGGAAGGATGGAGAATTATGCTGTTCCCATTTTCAGGGCTGGGTAAGCAGAAGAAGCTGGAACCAGCAAAAGGAAGGATTTCTTTTTTTTCTCAACATTAATCTAATGACACAACTAGACTAATTCAGAGGAAAAGCTGGGCACAAAACAAAATGTAGCATGATCTCAAGGGGAAAAAAACTTGTAAGGAAAATGGAAAGGAAAGCACTGCTCATCGAGTCACCTTCTCAGCTGCTCCTTCAACCTCAGGGATGAAGGAATTAGAATCCCAACCCCATCACACTCCATATAGCAACCACTGTACAACCACAGCCAGGGTCATGGCAAAAGTTTCTCACTTTCCACTTCGAACCCAGGCTGTGGCAGCACTGAGAATAGTCATGTAAGCTTCTGCTCAGGGTCAGCTTTCCTGCTTGCAGCACACTGGGGCCATTTCAGGCCCTGAGCAGTTCCCAGAAAGCCCATTGGTCCCGGGTACACATCTGTCTGCATTTAAAACCATGGCTTAAAATCCGCAAGGGTGAACACAGGACAAGTGAGCAAGCTCTGGCATGTCACGCAAATTGCTATAACAACACCCAGAACTATAAAGACGAAAAACAAGTGCCCATAAACTGTTTCCTTTTAGAAGTGGCTGTGTAAGCTATGTGAGTGACACCAGACCTGGCTCTGCATGCCCACAGGCAGAACAGATGTGCTGCAAGATTCTTGCCACATCACAGCCATGTGCGTGCTCTGTGACTGACCCTCACACCAGAAGGGAGGGGAGCTCACTTTCCCTTTAAGTTTCTGCTTCCGATTTTACCAACAAGCCAGCACCCAGGGAAACCAGCAAATGACCTTCATAACTAGGCTTTGGGGACGTGAACAAAAACCAGTGACTGCTGGATCCAACCTATGGTATCTCTCTGGTAATAAACCAGCACAGCTTATGTTCATGACCAGATGGACTTACCAGGTGACCAAGAAGAAGCCAGATATTTTAGAAGACTAAAGATAACAGGTCTCCACTTCATTGATCTGAAGGAAGGTTAGCTTTTGTCTTGTATCCCTTCCCACACATGAGAAAACAATAAGCTCAAAGAAACCATGTAAAAAAAAGAGCACCAGGAAAAAAATCCAAACATGAGATAGATTCAACTGGTCCTAGAAGCAAAGCCCCCATGCAAAAGAGGTGCATACAGTCCCACCACACAGACACACATCTCCACTCCCAGCTTCCCTACAAGCCTGGGCGGGATATTGGGTAAGCAGTCTACCCTGTATTCTTCCCTTTCCCTCTGTAAAGCAGATGGGCCATGTGCAGGTGGCTTGAAAGGGGCTAAAAGCTAAGGGGTTAGGCATGAAGGTGATGAGCATGTGAACAAGTAATGATCACATGAACACCATGTGAGGGCATCAGGCGCAGTATTGTGCCTCAGTGGAGGCTGAGAGGTGCAGTGGGGATAGAGGAGCAGAAAGATCTGTGAAGACCATGAAACTGATGTCAAGAATTGAGCAAGGGTAGAATGCACGGAGGGCAGAAGAGGATCTTGCTAAGACATAATGTTGTCTTAAGAAAGGAAGCCTTTATTGATATTTTGGGGTTGCGGGATTTTTTTTTTTTTACCTGTTTCAACTGGTCCTTTAATACCTTTGTATCATGTAGTTCTTGATGTTGGCTCAGGATTCACATCCTTGGACAGGTATCCGATGTCTAGGGGATCACATCATCCCAAAAGTCAAGATGCTTCTGTGTACATGGATATTAACCAGTAGGACCCCCCAAATTCACGCCTGAACTCCACCACCCAGGGACCATTGAAATCAGTAAGGCCCTCAGGAAGGCAGAAGCTCACAAGGCAAACACACTTCTGCTCTCCTGCTGCTGGTTTTTCTGTCACTCAAGCTGCTGTTTCTGTTGCTGGTGTACATGCTGTTGTTTTCTGTCACCTTCATCATTGATGATGCTTTAGGGAAATGTGGGATGGATCTGGGCAAATCACGTCTGCACCAAGGTGGCAGGATGGAAACATAGCCCACTAGAAACAGATTTCTGCACTGCATGGCAGATGCTAACTGCCTCAGTGGTGAGGACAGATAAGAAAAGTGAATCAAAAGGGGGATACACTCTTGGATAAAGATATTCCCTCCACCAATGTTGCTAGATACTGATGGCAAGAGAAGGAGTATGTCTTGGACTGGATGAAGAAAAGGCTTATCAGCAGAAGTGGCTTATTTTGTTTCAGCTAAGACAATAGCCAGAAGTGGCAGAAGCACTATTTTCTCAGAAACAAAACTTTAGTGACAGAGGAAGTATTTGGATGAGGAATGCTACTGTTTTCCTTCCCTTCAGCTGCAATATCCTAATTTTACTTCAACGTAATTCCAATAGTGTGTCACTGAGTGGCAGATTGCATCCAGGGGCTTATAGCCTTACACTGAACACAAATGGATCAACACATTATAAACACATCAAGCTGCAGAAAATAGAATTTTTCAGTATAGTTCCATCACATTCCTAGTAAAAAAGGCTTGCCAATATCTTTTTTTATTTTATCAGAGTTTCCATATGATTTTGGTTCATGTCATTCACACTCCACTATGGATTTTGCAAGGGCGTAGTTGTGTCCCATATCACAGATATCTGTATCACAAGTATGGCAGACACAATCATGACATGAAAGCCACTTAAGAGAGAATTTCTAGAAGATCAGAGTCAGGGAAGCACTGGAAAAAAAATGGTATGACATCATATGTAGCATTTGAAATCCAGAAGAAAGCAGCCTGTGTGCAATTAGAATGATTAGCACATCCGTTAGTTTCAGAGATATGTATGTATTTGTGTGTGTCTTCAAATACAACCTATATATATATATATATAAATACATGTAAAGTAGATAGGAATCTTCATCTATTTCTAGCCATCAAAAGGAGGTTTCTCTGGATCCTTTGTATACTGAACACATTTGGCATTTGATTGAGCAAATGTTTCTTCACAGGAGTCTCCTAGTGCATCATTCTATTCATGATCTGTCTCTTGTTCTTCAGATAATTAATGATGTTCCCTTATGCTTGTGCTGGAGAGAAATTAGGATGACACAGTCCATATGCTTAGAAAAAAATTTAATGAAGTATCATTGAAGATTTTGGTGGAGCTGTAATGGTTTACAGCATATAAAATTCTACCCTACCTCGAACTCACGACTTTGCTGGATTGAAAATTCACTTCTGTCTGGGATATAAATATTATTCTAAAATAGATTATTTTAGAGAATGTCAGCTAGTCCGTTCCTGGACTTCCACACAGCTTTGGAAAGAAAACAAAATCTGAAGACTCACTTCTGTGCTTCAAAAAGTCTTGACTCCACCTCTGGGCCAAAAGACAAACTCTTCCATTTTGAACTTTCTAGTGGTATTCACAGTTACAATACCTAAACCATGTAAGGTATTATAAAGTATAAATTGCTCAGTTGTGCCACTGAATGATTGTGTTCTGTCCCTAAAAGGATGGATATTGTAATTTCATGTCCTCATAAGGCAGGAATAACACTGCAACACGTTCAGGAGATGTACTAGTGATTCTGCGTTTGTTTCTTGCAAGCACAGATCAAATGACCATTTTAAAAATTACTGACTCTAAGCAGAGCTACCAGCCATTCCCTTTGCAGCCAACTGTTTTAAGATTTGAAAGCATAGGCCTGGGAGTCATTATTTCTCAGTGCTCTTCCTGAATCTGACACAAATTCATGATTAATCCACTTAAGTTCTCAGTATGTCTGCTGACGCTCTTGTACAAAAAAGACAGTTCTTCTCATAGAGCTCTTGTAACTATTAGGTAAAGATGTTCCTACAGAATCATAAAAAAGCTTTCAAAGTGACAGACAAAACATAGTTGTGTCTACAAATATATAAATAATGAGAACAGAGTCTTCAGTGAGTTATTTACAATGAAGATTTATAAGAATATCCTACCACATTAGTAATAGTGGAAGATGGTTGGCCAGCTCTCTGCCATAGTATCTGCTCCCAGAGGTAAGAAACCTGTGGAGCTTTCTGCACAAATGAGACGTGTTTCTGCTGGGAGGCATTTTGTCCTCTAGCTCTCCCACAGTAGCAGCTAAGCAGCAGAAATGGAGTAGCTTTCAGTAAGGACACAGCAGCGGGAGTTGTTTTCTCCATGCAATTGTGCTGTGTAGAAAAGTGGAAGTTAATCAGGTCTTGGGGATGAAGGCAATGAGAACATCAGCATGTCCACTGGCTGGCCACAGACTGGCCAAGCAGAAACAGAAGCTATCCTGGTGTCCCCTGGATGGAGTCTTTAACTAACCTTTCTTGTATTGGCTCACTAAGAAAGGCCACTCTTCTTGGCCAAGTCTTCTTCAACATCTTGGCTCTGAAGAAGCAGGTGAAGCAAGCCTCTCTGAGCAGCTGCCAAAGCAGCGAGGACGTAAGCTGTCCTTGGCCTACAGGACTGGAGGGGAACATCCAAATACTGCAGGTCATGGAGATGTTTATCCCTCACATGGAGGATGCAGTGGGTGAGCACCTTCTCCCTCAGATATCTCCAGACTCCATGACGACACCCGTATACTGCGATGATGCCCCAGTCTCTTGAGAGACACAGGCACCAAAGATAGAGAGAGGGAGCAGCTGTCCCTGTGTTTGGAGGTGATCAGTCATGTTACCTACTCAATCTGAGAGGAAGAGATAATGCTGGCACAAGGACAGCAAATAAAGCTGCATAAACAACACTGATATCATTTGGAAAAAGAGACATTAAAAAAGGTAAGAAGAGTGGAATTCCATCACTTTTGACCTGAAACCTGAATGCACCCTGGGAATATTTTTGGGATAAGCTTTTGGAGTTTCTTTCTGCCTCCTTCTTCTGTCCCTGGCCTGAGGGGAATGCCCTGTGGACTCTGATGCTTCTGTTCCACAGGTGTCAAGCTAAGGGGAAGGGGCTCATGGCTCCCAAAAGAGGGAAAACACCCAGTCAAACACTCAAGTAAGGAAACAATTCAAAAGGACATCTTTAAAATGAGCCAGCTGCAGTTAGACACAGAAATGTCCCTGAGGAGTCTAAGCGAAACAGCTCGTCATGTGGACACTTCATGTCCAAGCAGAAACCTGTCTAGCTTGCTTGCTTAACTCCGTAAAACATATGGTTGTTAAATACGCGTCAAAAGGCAGCAATGACAACATGGTGGCTGGTTCTTTGAAACGGGAGGGACTGGCTTGCTTTTCACAACCGGGATGACATTGCATCTGCTGCTGCCTCCCATCTCCCCAGTGAGATTGCCCTCTGATGTGATGTGGCTTTAGCAAGGCAGAGAGGCCAGGGATGGCTCCTGTTCTGTATTTGTTTGACTCCCTTCATTATAGCAGAGTTCTTCCTGATTTATAGTGACAAGAGACAAGTAACCAGCTTAGAGATTTCACCTTTGTTTGCAATTTAAAAATAATTGCCTTTGCGTTTTACAATTCCACTTATCCCTCACGAGATGACTTTTTAGAACAGGCACTTGATGTTGTTAAGCAGAGCTCAGTGAGCTGCCATCCTATAGGGTGGACATCCTGAGAAGGGGAGTGGGGCTCTACACGACACTGAACTACGCTGCCATTAGTCTCTAATGTTTTCACCCAGTTCTCTCTAGTTTGTGCTGCAATATTGAGGCAGACCCTAGTTAGTGCCAGGACAGATGGTGCATCTCATTCCCTGTGGGTAGCCTCAGAACAGCACATTTCTTTTGGCCACTTGGTTGTCTAGGAAAGAGAAGAATACATTTATAACTCACCCGCAGGGGTGAGTAAGTAAGCCCTCTGCTCTGCCGCTATCCCTGTCTGTGTAATATGCATTTCCATTCATGCAAGGAGCTCTCAAGATGGCAGCATAGCAATTTTGCGTTCTCCCAACACAAAAATAGCATCCCATTGCTCCTGGAAAGATGGGATGTGTATGCAAGAGACCACATGCAATAAAAACTAGCAGATTGCAGAGCATGTTTCTGCAACGGGCAATTGCAGTGAGACTGGATGTGGCACTGGAAGGTTGCATTTTGCCTTTTGGAATTTCTCTGTACTACTGAGCTAATTTGCTGAGAAGTTCACAATTCAGATTGCTGTTCATTTGGTAAGGGGATTTAACCGTATCTTAAACCTCCCAATCCACACTCTTTGCTTTCAGGCTTAGCAGAAATAAACGAAAGGCTAAATAAAAAGGATTAAAGACAGGCTCAGAAAATTCCAGCCTTGGAACAACAACTGTGCTCTCCAAAGTCTCGCAAATGCATAGATGGAGGCATAATTTTACAAGCATTTCCAGTACCTGTAGCAGGGGAATTCCACAGCCTCACTCTCTGGCTGTCCTTCTTCCCTCACTATCACTTTAGCAAGGTACCAGCCACTGCTTCCTCCTTTGCCATCATGCCCTATCCTCACCCTCCTCACCTGCTTCAGCGTTACTGCTTCAACGAAGAATTCATCAGCCTTTGAGAAGAAGAAGAAAAGGGTAAGGTGATATTTCCCCTTAAAAATCATACAAATTTATTGTTGCAATCCAACCAACATCATCGGCGTACTGCAAGATAATTCTTCGCAAGATGAAGGAGAAAGTACGAATTAATTTACCAAAGAATGAGAGCTTGAATATTTGTGGTAGATGTATAACATTGGATTTGCAAATATATGATCTGCCAGCATTTTAAATCTCTCATGTCATTGCATGCCCTCCACAACTGCAAAAAAAAAGAGAAGTAATTTGATTGTTAAGAAGTTCATAGAGACAGGGAGGAAATCCAGGTTCAAACCCCTGCTCAGATATCAGCTTTGTGGGAAATCCGGGGCAGGTCACTGTCAGAAAAAATCCACAGAGGTTTTTAGAAGTACAGTTCAATTCCTGTGATAGCACATACCCAGCTAGCTCCCAGAGAGAGTGGTGGCAAGGCAGTATTTATTTAAATATTTTAATTTCTTAAAACCATCTTAATTTTTCTGTCATTCAGGACTCCAAATTGGCTTTTAAAATAAAGACAACTAAACATATTACCACTGTTCTAAGTGTTAATAATGGGCTTACACACATTAACAAATGTTATTTACATCCTCAAAACTATTGAATTGGGGATTTAAGGTATTCAAACCTCACTGAGTCAGTCTAAGTCAATGAAATATAATTCATTAGGCCTGATGTTCATCTTACTTATTAACGGCTGATATAAATTAATGAGTAACTAACTGGAACCGCAGTCAGGCAAACACCTAATTTAGAGGCATCGTTAAATTTTACCTTCAATACAGGCTGTTAGTTTGCATCTGCGAGCAAAGTTTTCAAGTTAAATTGTTAATCAAGGTACTATTGGTTTAAGTGGCTGTAGATTAGAGACTGTAGTGACTTAGCTACATTTCTTTTTAACAGGGTATCTGAGTTAATTGGTGTAGAAATATTCACTCAGTCTCTTGATTATACGAGCTCTAAGCTTGTCAGGATCAATCCTTAAACAGCTTTTAATTCATTTACTAGGTTTCATCTCCTTGTGCCGAGAGAGCAGTTTTCCATTAACAGGTTCCAGTTTGGTTTGTATCATCTGGATACTATTAATCACATGAACGGATTTCCAAAATTTTTTATTTTTTTTTATTCCGCTTCACGGAGGTCACCCTATAACTCAGTATGGGGAGTGAAAAATTAGAACAGTCACAGTCTGTGTTTAAAATTTTTATATCTTCTGTGAACCAAATGTCTTTCTTTGGAACTACACTGAAACAGCCTTCAAACTGCCACCATAACATGATTTACTTTGCTACCATTTTGGCAAAACTAGACTTTGCCAAATGACAAAATGCTGTACTTTACAGCATGGACTTACCTTTTAAAAATAACCAAAAAAAAGTGATAAAGTAAGTGCACTCATAAAAAGTATGATGCTTGCAATGGCCATATCTGCAAATCTTTATGAGCAGAAAGAACTTTCACACTACGTAAACACCACATACTTCCACGGGTCTCATGAGCACAATAAAACCTTGATGAAAGTTCTTTTAAAGTCTAAACAACTCAATGTTTTCAGTTAAGAGTTTGAAAATCTAGATGCTGAAAGGCAAACCCAATGTGTTAATGCATATTTCAGTTTTGAAAATGTGACTCCTTTTATCATTTTCTTTATATTCCAAATCTTCAGCCAAACAGTGACACAAAAGGTGGGATATCTGCACGGTTCTGTGATCAGATTCTCAAAGTCTCCTCCAGGAAACACTGATTACATTTTACCATTCTAAGGTGGACACTAGAGATCCAAGATGTGTCTCATAGTTGAATAAATATTAATTACGTTGACCCCATAGATCAGATCAGCACACTGTTTACTTGTTTATGCTGCAAGGGCTTTAACTACAGATCGACCTCTTCCTTATCTCCACCTTTCAGGAGGACAAGCTCTGTCTTCAGTTCGGGCCATTTCCACCCCGCTACAGGCAGGACACAGGTTTATATTCAAGAATCACTACTTCCAAGCTCAAGGTCTGTGCATCCCAACAGGTAGGAACTCAAGAAAGAGCCCCAGGAGAACTTCACAGTTAACCAGGGAACTGGTTTGCTGAGCAAACTCAAGTGGAAGAAGAGAGTCTGCAGATCATGGAAGGAGGGCTGGCCACTTGGGTGGAATATAAAAGGTGGTCAGAGGAGGTAGGGAGGCAACTAGGAAAGCTAAGGCCTCCTTAAAATTAAACCTGGCAAGGGAGGACAAGGACAACAGAAAGGGCTTCTTCAAATACACTGCCGAGAAAACTAACACCAGAGGCAATGTAGGCCCTCTGGTGGATGCGGTGGGTGCCCTGGCAACTGAGGATCCAGAGAAGGCAGAGTTATCAAATGCCTTCTTTACCTCTGTCTGTAATGTTGGAGACTGCCCTCAGGAGCCCCAGTCCCCTGAGGCCCCGGAGGAAATCAGGATTTGCTTTAGTTGATGAGGACCGGGTTAGGGATCAGTCAGGCAATCTGAACATCCATAAATCTATGGGCCCTGATAGGAGGCACTCACAGGTGCTGAGGGAGCTGGCAGAAGTCATTGCTAGGCCACTCCCCATCATCTTTGGTAAGTCATGGGCAACAGGAGAGGTGCCTGAGCACTGGAGGAAAGAAGAAGTCTTCAAAACAGGCAAGAAGAACCCAGGTAACTACAATCCAGTCAGCCTCAACTCCATCTGCGGAAAAGTGGTGGAATAATTTATCCTCAGCGCTGTCTCTGGGCATATCAATGGTAAGAGGGTCATTAGGAGCAGTCAGCATGGCTTTGCCAAGGGGAAGCCATGTTTGACCAACCTGACAGCCTTTTATGAAGACATAATCAGGTGGAGAGATGATGGCCTTGCAGTGGACGTGGTCTATCTGGGTTTCAGTGAAGCATTTGACACCATCTCCCACAGCATCCTCGTAGCTAAACTGAGGAAGTGTGGTCTGAGTGATCGGGTAGTGAGGTGGCTTGTGACCTCATTGAAGGCAAGAAGTCAGAGAGTTGTGGTCAATGGGGCAGAGTCTAGTTGGAGGCCTGTATCTAGTAGAGTCCTTCAGGGGTCAGTACTGGGACTAGAACTATTCAATATATTCATCAATGACCTGGATGTGGGATTAGAGAGCACTGTCAGCAAGTTTGCTGATGACGCAAAACTGGGAGGAGTGGTTGACACACCAGAAGGCTGTGCTGCCAGACCTAGCAGGATGGAGAGTTGGGTCAGGAGAAATGTTATGAAATACGACAAAGGCAAGTGTAGAGTCTTGCACCTGGGAAAGAACAACTCCATGTGCCGGTATAGGCTGGGGACTGACCTGCTGGAGAGTGGTGCAGGGGAAAGGGACCTGGTGGACAGCAGGATGGCCATGAGCCAGCAGTGTGCCCTCGTGGCCAAGAAGGCCAATGGCTTCCTGGGGTGTGTTAGAAGGGGAGTAGCTGGTAGGTCAGAGAGGTTCTCCTGCCCCTCTGCTCTGCCCTCGTGAGGCCACATCTGGAATAATATGCCCAGTTCTGGGCCTCTCAGCTCCAGAGAGACAGGGAACTGCTGGAGAGAGTCCAGCGCAGTCACAGGGATGATGGAGGGAGTGGAACGCCTCTCTTATGAGGGAAGACTGAAGGAGCTGTGTCTCTTGAGCTTGGAGAAGAGGAGGCTGAGGGGGGACCTCATCCATGTAAATATGTCAAGGGGGAGTGTCAGGAGGATGGAGCCAGGCTCTTCTCAGGGATGTCCAATGATAGGACAAGGGATAGTGGGTACAAGCTGAAGCATAGAAGGTTCCACCAAAACCTTAGGAAAAACTTTTTCCCTGTGAGGGTGACAGAGCCTGGCACAGGCTGCCCGGGGAGGTTGTGGAGTCTCCTTCTCTGGAGACTTTCACACCCCACCTGGACACATTCCTGGGTGACCTGCTGTAGGTGATCCTGCTCTGGCAGGGGGGCTGGACTAGATGATCTTTCAACTTCTAACATTCTGTGCTTCTGTGATTCTGTGACTCAAAAACATGTTCAAAACTAGACTGAAAATAAGACAAAAAAATTGAGTGTGCAGCATGGTTGAGGGGAAACTGGAGGAAGTATAAAGGAAAAACACTAGGCTTTAAGTTCAGACTTTCACATTAAACAAGATGCTTTGTCTTCCCTTGCCCCGGGAGTCAATTTTTGCCGTATTAGGTGGCAGTGGAAAGACTTCCTCATGTTCTTGGAAGAAAGAGAAGTTTTCTGGAAGCCTTCCCCAATGTGAAGATGCAATTTCAACAGTCAGTACTAACGTAGGGAGTATACCAAGAATCTCTTTTATGAACACACCGATATCACGTTGTCGTTGTTCTAAAGCTGCCTCCAATGGCAACGTGTTATGGTACTCCATGGACATGATTTTTTTCTCCCTACTACCCTAGACCACATTAGCAAGGAAATCAACCAAGTTTATGAACGTATATCTCAAAAAAAAAATCTACAAACCATCATTTGCTTTAAAACCCATCCTATGGAGGTGCTTAGTTGTTTACTTACATTGCCTTTTTCAAATTTATTGACAGTGTTGATGCAGTTGTAGAGAACGCGCTCTCCCGTGTCTCCCTGGTCACCGATGAGGCAGATGAAGACATTGGCATCTGTGCCACTCCCACTTACCGTCCCAGTGCAAACAGTCACCCGGTATTTAATCACTGTGGAGACATACATTAATAAAACAATTTCAGCAGTATGATTAGTTATCATTTAAATTTACTACACTTCCCACAGACTTGCAATTACTTTTAAGTGTTCATACTTCCAGGTGACAGACTTTCACACTTCCATGTTATCACTGGGGGAAAAAAGGCAGCCAAAATAAGAAGGCTTGAAATGTTAAGAAAACCCATAAAACCCCTTCAGAGAAGGACACAAAATTACTGCCTTCTCAAGAAAGTCCTGGTGAGGGGGGACCTTGGAACAACACATTAGGGGGAAACATCATTTGCAGCATGCAGGGGCATGGCAGGCAGACAAAAAGTTTAAAAGGACCAAGCACTCAGGGACCTGGGGAACAGGCTTTTTTTACTGGCTTTATGGGACAGGACAAGCCTAGATGGCCCCATCTCCTTCAGACCTCCCCAGTGTAGGAGGTTGCATTGTGTCTTGCCTCTTTGTCACCTTTGAGGTCTTTATTTTGGATTTTCCTGGATGGATTTTGAGCTCCCACCCTGCCCTCCTCTCTGCTCTCCCATCCCATGGAGTGAAGGATTTCCATAGCGAATTTCACAACGAAGGAGCAGCCAACAGAGGCCGAGAAACCTTTTTTCACCAGGATGGGGAAGGAATATGAAGCAATTCTTCCACTCTCCCTCCAAAACCCGCCTGCAAGCCCAACATGTGGGTGCTGCGAATCTCCTCTGCTCAGCACAACTACTCCTTACGAGAAAGTGCCTGCATTTGAACTCAAGGAGCCCTCTCCACAGCTGATTAAAAATACATTTCAAATCCAGGTTTATTTACATTTTAATAACATCTGCAATCACAATTACTCTTCCTCTTCTGAGGAACTGCTCAGCTGCATGCAGATCACTGAGTTCATCGGAAATTTCAGAAAAAAAAGAGGACTCACATGGAACCCTGTTGGGTGGAAAGAAGAAAAATCTCAGTGGCCTCCTTGAGATATTCTGCTCTCCAAAATTCTCCTTCCAAGTACACTTATTTCTTGTGACACAAGGTCAAGATAGAAATGACCACTTCAGGAAGCCAATATAAAGTTCTGCAGCTTTCCTTAATTAGAGCTCCAGTTCAAGCATAGCTAACCCAACAAGTATTTTGAATTGCTCACATGTACTGAAAGGTGCCTATGTTCTTGCACAGCTGTTCTCTGCAACCTCCTATACATTTATACATATGGCTGCATGAATTTGCCTATAATTAAATAAAACCTTAAAGCCCAAGAATGATAGTTAAATTTTAGATTGCACTTCAGCTAAGCTTGCTTTCCAGGGACACGCCTTCAAACCTGGCATTTCACATTTTAAGGGTGATTGGGAAAAAATAAAACACAAAAAACTCTGCAGACAATTGTGCTGTGGCCATATCCCTCCCATCTCCCTCCACAGAGGAATCTGTTCAGAATAAGAGCCTGGGATTTCTGAGGCTTTATGTAGCTAATGATGCACACAGAAAATACTGCAGAGAGAATGTACCAGAAAGAGAAGCTAATTGAATTGCATCGGTCTGCCTGCACATCCCTTACACAAAGAGAGTTTCTTTCTATTAGGGTCCTAAGCACAGAGCCTGTGGCTCTCACCTGGCATGACTTCAGTCACTAGAGATCCCTCCGCAGGGAGCTCCCGCACGATCTCATTGTCGTCTTCATTTATATCTAGCCAGCGGCCACAGCTGAATGAGTATTTTTCTTTTGTCAGCGTTTTCAGCAGAGTTACCTTCATTAAACCAAAACACTGCGTGAGTTCAGGGGCTTAAACACAAAAAAGCAACAAGCTCCTGACAGGTTTTTGCCTGGGAAGCAAGAGTAGGTAGCAGCCGAGAAATAACACACATTAATAACGAGACTGTCGTTCCAAATCATTCATGGCAGTGATGCACAGAACAAAGTCTGTCATTGCTGACAGGTTTTCATTCCTCTTTTCTCCAGTCGCTCTATAGTGGTGTGAAAGCTTCAATAGCTATCATGGCTCTTGGTATCTGCTCATCATATGTCACCTTAGAAGGCACGGATGGGGCTTGCATTACTGGTTCTCACAGCTCAAGGATCAGTGCAGGGCACACTGAGGAAACACCCAGAAAATGGCAGCAGTCATGATCAAAGATCTGCAGTAGCTTCCAAAGAAGGGATGAGCAAGGAAAGATGTAGTGAGGTGCAAGTCGGTCTCTTCTCCCTAGTAGCCAGTGATAGGAAAAGAGAAATTGGCCTCAAGTTGCACCAGAGGAGGTTTCGGTTGAATATCAGAACTTCTTCACTGAAATTGCTCTTGGACACTGAAACAGGCTGCCCAGAGAGGTAGCTGAGTCACCATCCCTATAGGCATTTAAGTGTAGGTGTCGTGCTTAGGGACGCGGTTTAGTGGCTGACTTGGAAGGGCTAGGTCAACGGTTGGACTCAATGATCTCAAAGGTGTATTCCTACCAAAACTGTCCTGTGATTCTAAATAGGGTGGGTCTGTGCTGACGGCTGGTGAAGTGGGTGAAAGGAGGGTATGACGATGGTCTACAACATCATAGGTGGCATGGAGAAGGGGATCAGCTATTCACTGATCTTCAAGAAGAAATATAGGGCATCAAATGATGCCTGTAGGCTGAAACTCAAAGCAAACAAAAGGACACAATCAACCCGTAGAGTCCTTGCCAAAAAACTAAATGTTCAAATGTTCAAGGGGAGACCGGAACTTTTGAGGAAGTGAATGGAAAACTGTTACATGCTCTGTATTTAGTAAATTCATTCAGGAGGTTAAGTCTCCAGTTTGAAATAGTCAAAAACTGAAGGAAAGGTAAGGGGAAGTATCATAAATGTTTGCCCTTCCCATACTGTTCTCTAGTTATGCAGGAGAGGGAATGAACCTTTGGCCTGACCTGTTCATGTGTTTTTGTATTAGAGTAGGAAGCCTGCCCCAGCATGAAAGCAAGCCTGGAGTGAAACTTGTGAGGACCAGAACAAAGCATCATTAAGGCTTCATCTGAGTTCCTGGATGCTAGAATGGATGCACAAGTGATGGGATGCATGTGCCTTGAGCCTGGTGCATCCATCTGGACATCAGATTGGCTGTATAAGGGCAGACTGATTTCATGCATCTTCACTAGGTTTGCTTAGGCAATTTGGCCCAAAGTGAATCCAGAACACCGTGAGATCCCTTTTGGTCTCTCTGAATGCTATTTCTGTGCAAGAAAAGAGGATACCTCCCCTTTTTTTTTTTCCCTATACAGGGAAATATATAGCTATGGAAGGTTCAAGCATTCTTGCTCATAATCTGTGAACAAACTAATAGAGACAACTGCAGTGGCCCGAGGTCTGACTAGCACTTTCTTTTTAGTAAAGACCACAGCCAGATGACTTTTCCCATCACGCAGCGCACACAGCAGTACTTGATGTCCTCTCCCCACCGCAGAGGTGTTGGGCTGGGAACACTTCCCCAGCTCCCTGACAATGCAGGGGAGCAGGATCTATCAAAGAATATTAGAGGCACGTGAGAAAAATCTCTAAGTGGTAAATTGTGATTTATCATCACAGTTATTTATGGCTTCAGAGCAAAGTGCCTGTCTTGTTAACTGCAGAGAACATCTTCGAAATTCTGCAGAAGGAGCATAGGTGAATCTTAGAGATGAACTTGCTGCCTTGCAGACCCAGGAGAGGACTGAAGGATGGGCGAATGTGAGTTTCTCCATCAGTCTGAGGTGTCAATGTTGCCATGTCCTATTACTCTCATTTTCCATATATAGCTGGGCTGAGAGGGATGGGAAGGAGAAGCAACTTCCCCCCCCAAAAAATAAATCACACAACAAATCCTTCTCTCCCCACATATTTTTGCCAACATTATGATGTGCTCTCTTCCCATCCCATTTTCATGTTCAATTCCCACTTCCACCCCTCAGTCAGCACCGTCTGTTCCAGTGGAGGAACACGATGGCCCAGGGCAGTCAGTGCAGACTTCTGTGACCCATATGGCTTTTCACGTCTACCTTTCCTTGGCATCCCCTCACCTTATTCAGATGCCAGCCAGCAAAGGGATTTCTTTTCTCGTGCCATATTCGAAGTTTGTAAAATGTGCCCAGGTCAGGGAGCTCAATCTACATGGGGGAAAAAAGGTCTATTATCCACTTCTGTAAGTCAGCAAAGCATGCACACATAGGACACCACTGAACATCCAAGTCAGAAAGGATTCAAAAAGTGAAGTAAACAAAAATTTCTTTAAAAGTCATAAACCCTTGATGCTTCTCTTTTCAAGTGAGGAGAACAAACAAGTTGAATCCATACACTTTTTCACCATCAGTGCTTCTTAAAACTAATCCTCCCAGTAAGAATCAAGTCTAGTTCCTGAGCTTCACCTCCTTCTCAGACAGGGTCTGCAGAGCACAGCCATGCTTCCTCCAGAAACCATCTACAGCTGCTAGTGCAAGAAGTGAATGTTTTGGCTACAGCCATGTATTGAAACCCTTTTTTCCTCAATTCTTCTCTGACCGCTCCCCTGTTAACATTTGAGCATATTTGTCCCTAAATACAAAGTGCTCTCCAGCTTCCACAGTCAACATGCTGTTGAGCTCAGCCCCAAACATTCATAGAGGCTCACGTCCAAGGAGGCTGAAGACCAGGTCACGGTGGAGAGAAAACACCCCTGCTAATTCTTCTGTAAATAGCTAATGACCACTTAGGCTCTGGGGGAAAACATTTGCATCTCCACCAAACTGAATGTCTTCTCCTCCACTTCCAAAGGATGTGCTGAGGTAAGGATCTCATGTTGATGGTTTTCTGTGCATGTTTGAAGCTAATGCCCTGGAAAACAAACCAAGCCAAATTTACCACTTGCATGAGATTCATACCATGAACTTGTCAATCTGCCCAGTTTCAAAGTTGTCTGAATTGTTGTCCAGCTTCATCTCATCTGACTTCCCCTTGTCTCCATAGATCTGGAAGAAGATGGTGGCATCTGTCCCTGCATTCTTAATGTCACTTGTCCAGATCCACAGAGACCATGGGTTTTCTACAAAGAAAGGTTCAAGACATTCTGTTTAAAAATTAATTTTTAAAGGTGACCTGGTAGAAAAAAAACAATTCTCGTTCTTTCCCCTGGGTGGTAGAGAGGGCAGGATGGTGTGAAAGAAGACCAGGACGCTTTATCCTTTTCTGCACAAACATAGTCAGTTGCGACATGGCATACAGGAATGAGATTGCCTGGAAATATAATTCTGTGTTTTCATTTCAAATAAAATAAGAAAAAAAACTTATATAACCACTTTCCAGGTTAACCATGTTCTTCCATGACATACATTACCTACAGGGTCATCCAGGGATGTTCTCCATCCCTGTAGCTTCTATATACTCCTCCAACAACTCTAGCTTCGAAGATGGTTTTAAATCCAGGGAAATACTGTCACCTTTCTTTTTGTCAATGAGAAAGAGTCTCCAGTTGCATCTGTCACCTGGTTATTGGCTAAAACCATGACACCTGTGTACAGTGCAATGCAGATAGCCCCTAAAACTTGCTCCAGATGATCTGTGTCTGGAACAAGGAGGAGCACGGATACAGCCGCATATCATCACTTCACCCTGAGTCAATGAGCCTCCCTGAGAATGGACCAGTGATCCCAGCCTTTTGCAGGACAGGCTGGCTCATCCAGGTATTTTTCATACCAGAGGATAGTTGCAAATGTAAAGGTGACATTATTTCCTTTAACGAGCCTCTCATCGGCATTCTTTATTGATAATAACGTGTTTCACTTCTGCAGGGCTTGCAGCACCTGCAGCAGAGGGAACAGGCTTCTTTCGTAACTCAGACATTGGCTGAATTATTAACAAATCCTGATGAAAGAATTGCTAACCCTTTCGGTATGCAAGAGCCCACATGAGCACTGCTTGACCTTCAGAGCCCAGGATGGAATACAAAAATACAATGACATGCATATAAATTAGATTTTTTTTACTGATCTACTCAGCATTTGACTGTAAAAAAAGGCAACAACTACTCAAAAAAAAAAAAAAAAGGAAAGGAAAGAAGGAACTTCCTTTTAGAATAAGTTCTGCCCCAATTTTAATAATATGCAAAGCACAAGCAAGCTTTATCTGAAACAGAAATGAACCTTGCGTATGGCGTGGGCTATAGCAGCCTGAGCTCCCTGAGAAGAGCAAGGGCAGTTCAGACTCCAGAGACTTCTCTCATCTGTTTGGTCTCCCTGTTTGGCCTCCCTGACCTCTTGTTGAAGGAAAGGAGTGATGGGTACAGGGAGGTGGGAGGAAAAGGGAACTTGTACCAGGATTAAATGCTGATAGGGGGCTGTCAGGGAGAAACCACACAAGGAGAAATGTGGATGAGATAAGTCTCCAGCTGCCAGAGGAGACCAGACATTCCCCCAAAGTCATTCTCCCAGGGCCTGCTGGGCATGGTCCCCTGTTTCCTATCCCTTCACATCAAGGCATCCAAACAGTTTGGAAATTGTCAGAGCTGAAGGAAATATTCCCCAGGGCACAAACACCAGGGAGGGCTAGACTTGGTGCCACAGTTTCCAGGATAATATTCAAGATAAGGGGTGGGGGAAGGGGGGAGTGGGATAAAAAAAGACCAAGAATAAATACAAGCCACACGTTGAGCTGCAATGCGCTGGGGGAACAGCTTGCAAACGCTGTGCAGGGAGGCATTTCACCATGGATACCCAAAATAAGGTTGAACCAAGCTTTGATCAGCTCTATAGAAAGGGACAGTCCTGCGTGCACAGGGAGATAGGCGAGATGACATAATAGGTCTTTTCTAACTCCAAGTCTTACGCTTCTATAATCTGGCAGCTAAAGGTCACAGATTTCTCAAGGCTAATGCTCTCTGTCTATCTCCTGCACTGCGGCAGCAGGGGAATTAGCCTGTCAATAACAATCAGAGCTGATAATAGAGGGTTAAAGGTTGCAGATGCTTTAGTTAAATGGACCGAGCCAGAGGCGCAGTGTGGTTATAACGCTGACTAACATTTAGATAAAGCTTATTTAAATGAACTGCTGTTTAAGCAGGAGCCCACCCGAAGTATTTGGATTAAACTGTGTCTATTATCCTCATTAAAATATCCTGCTTACACACACACACACTGGGACAGGTGACAGGGCAGTGATCTGGTTTTGCTTGGTGGTGCAGAACAAACCAGAGAGGATAGAGCCGTGTGTGGAGGGCCAAACATGCAGGTATGTACCAGCACCTCCCAGCAAACATGTGCCATTGCTTTAGAGAAGAGGCTTCAAACACAGCACTCGTGTACCTCCAGACTAGATAGGACTGAGAGCTGGGTTTTCTCTAAGGCTAAGAGTAAAAAAAGTTGACGCTGGTGGGAAGAGTTTGGGTTTTTTCCTGTTTTCCCCCAGAATTTGTCTTTTTAATTATATTTAGGTGTTGTTTCCATCTGTAGCAGCAAAGCTTTGCTTCTGCAAGAAACATAAATAAAAAATATAGCCTGGCTTGCCTGCGAAGGTGAGATGGAGGCTGAGGCAGCCCGAAGCCCAAGAGAACCTAGGAAGTCTGCCAGGTCCAATTTCTTCCCTTCAGAAAATGAGTACAATTCTTCAAAGTGTTTTAAAAGTTTCATTTTAAACTCCCCAACCAGAGTATTTGAAGCTGAAACTCATGCGAGACTCAATTAACTCGAGTCTCTACTTGTCCATGGGTCTTCTCATGCCATGTTGCATGGGTGACACTCAGGATGCAGTTGCATGGGATGGGGGTCACAGGAGACACCTGGGAACTTGCACCTACTTTTCAGTCTTCTCTGGCGCAGGGAGACCATTTCGTAGAGCTCTCGCTCTATGAGACCATCTCCTTCATCTTCATCCAGCCACTTCCCGCATGGGAAGGTTTGCTCAATACCAGTGAATGGACAGTAAACCACCACCTAGGAAAAGAGACCAGGAAGGTGATTTTAAATGTTCTGTCACCATACAGTACCTTGATACTGAAAACTGAAGTAACTGAAGTAACTGAAGTAACTGAAGAAAAAACAGATCATAGAATCGCACAACGTTTTGGGTTAAAAGGGACCTTTTAAGGTCATCTAGTCCATATTTAGGTTATGTTCTCAAAATAAGGTTTTCTGGGCCAAGATGAACTGGCCTGGTTACATAATCCTACGTTTGGAGTATAGCAGAGCCCATCTGTCCTATTATTCCCACTTTTCCAGAAATGCATCAAAACGGGTTGGTGAAGAAAAGGTAAAACACCATGAGGGGAATGAGAATGGGAACAGGCAGTGTGGCTGCAGGAGTCAGCACCATGTCAGCATGCAGCACATGCCCCACGCCACACCAGTGAGCAGGAGGATTTTTGCAGGGAAGACAAGATACAATTAACTTTCAGACATATCCTAAACTGATTTTGCTTTCTAGGAAAACTGTTTTCTTGCAGCTTTGGGATAGCGAACTGCCTCCTTCTCCACCCTCCCATTAGCTCCTGCTCATCTTCTCCTACACATTCTCACACCACATATTGCTCCACTATCTCCCATTAACAGCTATGGCCATGGAATCATAGAAATGTTTAGGTTGCAAAAGACCATTAAGATCATCGAGTGCAACTGTTAATCTAGGAATGCCAGGGTCACCACTAAGCCATGTCACTAAGCACCACTTAGTGCCGCTTTGCGGTTTTTTCTTGGTCAGCCACTTGTTTTTCTGAGGTCCAAAGAAGCGTCTAAACAATTTAGGAAAGTCTGAGTATAGATGATAACTTTGAAACGCTCAGCATAATCCAAGACTGCATTTCTATCCGGCCCCTTGGGCGAACGTCTGAAGGTGCTTTTGGCGCTGAGCGAACAATAATCTCTGTCTTTGTGCCTGCAAAGGGGCAATCAACCCAATTAGCAAGTGATTGACTTATGCATCTAACGTGCCTTTGAGGCAATCAGCTACTAGCATGCATTATGTATACTATTGACTTGCTAAACTGGGGATATTGTTATCTAAATAAAAGTAGATTTTTTAAATTATTTTTTTAACCATATTTGGTTGTTAGGGGCCAGGTTATGAATAAGGAAACAGTCTGACAGCTACCTACAGACAAACGAACAGTCTCACCTTCTCACAAAACCATCCAGAACTGACACCACAATTATCGTGACCAATGGTGACTCTGCTGAGAGGGCTGAGGAGAGCAGCTATCTCCACGTTAAAGAGATCTGTCCTGGCACGTTCAAATTCACCTCCTTCCAGGAAAATCTTCCCGCTGTTCTTCAAGCCTTTGGAGCCATGGAGGTTTACGTGGATCTTGGAGTTTGTGCCAGCTCCCCTGATGTCTCCTGTCACTACAGCCACGTTGTACACAATACCTGAAGGAATCAGGAATTCGGTTAGGAAGAAAAGAAGGGAGGAAAAAAGTCTGTCACCAGCTGATGGTCTACGGCAAGTCTCCCAAAGCATCAGGCATTCAATCTTCTAATGAAAACCTGGCTAGCAGCATCCACTAATTGTATATTCACATTTCCCACCGTGGATTCAATCCATGATTTTACCTGTAGCCTCAGTGCCCCCAACAAGAATGTCCCTCTGGATTTTTCCATCATCTTCATCTAAAGCAAACCAGCGTCCAACTGGGAACTGGTACACACATTTATTGCCAATATCTTCGATGATCACCTGAGAGAAAACAAAGATCACTTTGCAAAACAACGTGGAAAATATGCGGGCATGGCAGAAGAGCAAAAGCTTAATGTATACTCTCACACAACATTTAATATATTTAATAAACCTAATAAATTTAATGCATTTAACATATTTAATTCTGAAGCAAATAACTCCCTGCTCCTTAATTAGTACTGATCGAATTTCAGACAATCAGTGAGTAACAAACCAGGCTTTTTTCTTTTCTTTTTTTAATGCAGTGAACTCAATCTGCATCTCTCGCAGTGTACGAGACCAGATGTCTCTGCTAGCACGACCAGCTGGCTGGCCTGTCTTCCTTCTCTCCAGAGCCCCTTTGCTGGCTACTCTTCTCCATCAGCTGAATGGCAGCTCTTTGTTCTGCTTAGGGAACAGGCTGTCTTCTTTCTCAGCTTTAGAGCCTTGTTTTAAAATAAGACCAAGGGATTTAAGGACAAATCAAGACCATCAGATCAGATTGTGTGGCCCACTAAATACCACGTTATCCCACTCACCTACTCCAGGATGGAACCATTGCAAATGAAACCCTGTAATAGGAATAGTTTCTGATTTGGAAGGATTTGGTTCCTGGACCTATCCAGGTACATATTTTACTGAAACAAGCCAGGGAACCACCTTCCCCTTTAACACTAGATTAAGTCAACGTTACCCAGTTGGAGTTTCTTGCACCACCTGCCAAAGTATTTCATACCAACATTTTCTTTTGGGTTCTTGAAGCTTGATATAGTTACTGCAGTATTTTAAATAAGCAGTGAAGAGTACTGAAGATTTGCAGCCAGAAAATAAGAAATTAAAATTTCTACTCACCTGCATAGTTTATGTCTCTGAGAAAAAACCCAACCAACCAACCAGCCAACAAACAATCACTATCAGGGGTAGAAAGTCTTTGCCACTTTTCTCTGCCTTCTCAGCAAACAGGGAGAATCTGAAATTCGTCCTTTCTGATCTATTTGTGAAATTATTCTTTGGGAACCAGAGCTTCCCCTCCCGTCACTCATCCCACACTGTGCTGGTGCCTGTTGCATTATGGATTCTTGTTGTACCTCCATAGATGCAGAGAGCAGGGTCTGTCAGGGCTGGGATTGTCAGCATGAGAGAGCAGTGAAGTGGTAGAGACTAAAATATATGAAGTTCAGGAGAAATACCAGCACTCGGCTTCCCCTCTACCAGCTGATCCTCTTTGGGCTCCTGTTAATATGTTCATTCATATATTTAGACGCAGAAAACCAGCTCTGAATATAAGCCACACAGAAGACACAAGAAACATGAGAAGAACTTCTAAGGATATTTAGCTAGTTCATCCAGGAGTGACAACACCAGAGTCTCCAAGTGTTGGAGCAAATCACAGATCTACCAACAATAGATGATAACTGAGCTATTTTAGCTCTTCCAAGCTTCCAACTGAACTTGCAAGGCAGAAGTTGCCTTTTACCTAATCACAGACATCTCAGTGGCTCCTGTGGCAGAACATAGGATGAGTGTGTTGGCTGCAACCAGTCGCTGCTTCAGGCTTTGGGACTTCAGCAGCCTAACCAAGGTCAAAAATAGTATCATACAGACTTCGCCTGTAATGTGAAAATGAAGTTCCTTTTCTGTGGATTGTTTATTTTGGGGTGGTTTTTTTGTTTGTTTTTTTTTTTTACAGGAAGAAAAACAGTAGTTTTTCACGTCCTGCAATTTTCATGGACAACCAACATAATAACTTCTAGAGCAGCGTATGGTGATGGTGGAAAAGCATATGCTAATATTTGTATTTGTAATACATCAAATCGTCCTGTTATCTAAGATTTACAAATATGGGGTCAGATCTGCGGTGGATTACAGCCAGCTGTGTCACACTATACCAACAGAGAAAAGAAAATGAGATTAAAGGGTCATAGATTTCTTCCTTTAAGTTGTTCCTTCAACCATTTCACTAAAAGCTACAGTAGTTTCACACCTTAGAGCAGGAGATGAAAATGAGGAAGAAAGCGGGAGTGGAAGAAAAGGATCTTTGTGGCAGGTATATCTTTTTTGCTGTGTCAGAGATAAATCACTTAAATTTGGCCAGGCTATAAGTCTTCACAAATTTCTAGTGTGAATAGATTCAACAGATATTTCTTCAACTATGGTATCTTTACCATCTGAAGTCAACAGAGTGACTGGGGGCTTGGAGTCTCCAGCTTGAAGAATTTCCCCCTCATCTGTCAGGAAATCTGGAGGGACTTGAGAGAGAAGGAATACTACCATAGCAGGCAAATTCAAGTCTTAACAACTGGATTTCTCACTGCCACAAAGCTGCTCAAGATGCTCAACTCTTACCCAGGGTGTCCCTAATCAAAGCTGGTTGAGATGCACCAGCCTGCTGAGAGCCCCCCATCAACCCCTCTTACTCTGCAGAAAAAACAATCAATGTGGAAGATACTTGTGAAAAGGTAAAAAATTCATTCGTGCCTCTCTCTGTGAAAAGGAACCTGTTCCACCAGCAAACATCCTTGTAATTGCATCAGACCATGGAGAGGGTGAGGGATCCCATAACATGCTTATAGTAAATGTCTCAGGACTAACTAACCTTTGCAAGGAACCAGCCAGCAGAACCACCCTTGTTATTATGCCCTATGTTAATTTTCCTTAACCTTCCCAAATTTGGAGCATCGAGAGTGAACTTGTCCTCTGCTCCCTTTTCAAAGTTGTCTTTGTCATTGTCCAGCTTCCGCACACCTGAGAAAAAATAAATGGAGGAAGAAAATCAAGGAGGAAACGGTTACCAGCACTTGAATGTTTTTAAGTGAAGAAATGTTTAGGAATGTCATAACTGACTAAATCAAATATTCTCCAGGTACCAGCCCTCTGCAACCAGGACTCAAGGTACAGGCATAGGACTTTATATTCTAATAAAAAGGTACCTTTTCTTAAGCACACAAAAGACCAGGATTTTCACTGTAATATCACAGTTACTTACAGCTCTCAGAGTTTGCAGCAATATCTATCCAGATGGCTCTTGCATCTTTTTTTTTCATACCACCACATTTCCCTTTTATTTTTTCCTGTCTTTAAAAATCTCCAAACTGTTTTAAAAAGGCTTGGGTCATAAGCTGCAGATTTTGACATTTCAGGACACAGACTTCTTTACTGCATCACACAGGAAGGATTTTCTTTTTTTAAAAAAAAAAAATAATAAGAAAGACCCAGCCAGGACTATTGGCTTTTCCTGATCCCACAGGAGCTTGCCTTTATGAAAAGTACTAAAGCCTTGACCCCAGCTGGAAACAGCGCTGTTCCCGTGCGAGCGATGCTGCGAGTGGGATCTAACCCTCCCAAGGGCACCAGTGCAGGGAAAGGTGTCGGAGAAATTCATCCCTCTTACTTTAGAAGGGGGTGAATAATTTTCTAGGGCTGTTATTTCTCTGTGTAGATACAATAGAGTGCCTGGACAACCAGCTAAGATTTAGACTCCCCCTTCTAGGTGTCTCCAGTGAGATCACATGAATCTATTTGTAAATGTCTGGAGGATTAATCAAGGTTGAGACCTAACCACTAAGTTTCATGCTCTGTTCAAGGACACTTGGCAGACATCACTATTTCCTGAATTTGACAGGATAGATGAAGTATAGAGAGAGAATATTTGCTCTCTGGGTCTCCAGAAATTTCCACTCATTCTTCTCAACGGCATGACCCAGAGAGCTGGGTCCAGGCACATCTTTTAGCACTAGTTGGTTAAAAATATTTTTTAAAAAAATAATTCAAGCTCCTAGTAGTAGATTGCACTGTTGTGGTACAATCCACATTTTAAAAAAAAAGAAAGAAAGAAAAAGAAAAGCTACCACTGTAACTTTAAAACCAGCTGATACAAACCTTCGTTAGATATCTTTCTAAATGGTCAGCGATGCTCAGCCACAACCTTTGTCAAACTGAAAAGAGTGTCCAGGGACACTGAAAGATTGTGCAGCTCTCACTGCAAGCAGTGTAAATAGAGTCATAGAATCATAAAATTGTTTTGGGTAGGAAAGGGCCTTTAAAGGCCATCTAATTCAACGCTCTTGCCAGGAGCAGGGACATCTTTACCACACACTTGCATAAATACACAATGTTTTTGGATCCATCACCGGACTAGCATTTACTGCACTGGTTTATGCTCATTTATGCTGCATTTTCCCAGGGTTTGGGTTTTTTGGTAGTAGATAACTTCAGTCATGCTCACAGCCCATCTACAACTGCTGCTCTGCAGACGCCGCTTCCAGAAGCTGTGGATGTGAGAAGCCTCAGAGCTAACACCACCATTTGTTGTGCCTTTCACACAGCCAAATTATTCTGCATTTGGCAGATTGCTGCTGTGTGTTGTACAGATCGCAGGCCTGCCGAGCAGGAAGAAATATTTTAGGAAATGATTTGCATTTGAATACCTGTGTCTCCTTTCTCACCGAAGATATTAATGAAGACATCCGCATCTGTTCCACTGCCGCTAACTTCACCAGTAAAAACTCGGACCACGTATTTGTTGACTGCAAAGGAGAGAGGGAGAAATCCCAATGCATTAATTACTCAGTGGTTTGATGAGAAATATAATAGTGCAAAGCAATTCTTGAAAGTGTGTCTGAACCTTGGTTCCTGTCATGCTGGCTCTCGCCGCCATAAGAGGAATAAAATCCATAGGCAGAGCTCTGATATTGAATATTCGTTGCCCAGGGCAAGAAGAGCAGATCACTCCGTTCCTGGCCTTGACACTGAAAGTTCAAACAGATGAAAAGGTGCAAATTTTGATGCTGATTCATGGCCATTGTATGGAATTAGGCCTATACGCCAGCCTTGCTTTTTCAAGACATCAATGACTTACAGAGACAGCCATCTGCCCAAGTTTGGACCTGACCTCTCTGCTCTGAATGCCATCACAGAGCTATTTTTACTACTTAGCTTACGTTAAGCCTGTCCAGTGACAAGTATTTTGAGGAAAGGTTGGTTTGAGGGTGACCACACTGCTACTCTGCCTAGTTTGAAAAATAAAATAAAATCCAGTACGTTACATTTAATGGAGAAACAGGAGTAAAGCCCAGGAGCTATGACACTGCAAAGCTGCTTGTGTGGCATTAAGCAACATAAAAATCACATGGGTGAGCCACACCATGGGCATCTCATGCATGCCATGGCAGTGAGTTTGAGAACCAAGTTCTTCAGAGGGATTGGGATGGAACTAAGATGTCTGAAAGGGACAGCAAGGGTGAGCTCAGTGGGGAAAATCTTCTCTGGTCTTCCCACTCAACAGGATAAATTAATTCTCTCAGGAGCTACAGACCATCATAAACCCCATGTTACCAATCGCAGAGTGGGTCACCTGTCTCCTCCATCATAATCAGTGTGTATTAAAAATTATTCTAAAAGGTAGCAGACACTTTGGTGAACTTGCTCCCACTGAGGCAGAGAGAGCGTATGAGAACGAGTTGTTGAACCATCCCCTGAATTATAAAGATGAGCTGAGCTCCCTGGGTGAGAAGTACAAGGGTAGAGCCTGAACAGAGGGGAAAATCACCTGTCGTGGTTTAATGAATATGCTCTGAAAATGCTAAAAATCGAGCTGACTTTCTTGGAGCCCCATCATAAAACATGCCATTATAAATAAAATAATAATGATAAAAGTGCAGTAAATACAAAACAACAAGAAAGAGGATGACAGAGCTAGACTCAGAGGAGCGAGAAAATGCCTTAATATTTCCTGTTAACTCTTTTGCTTCAGTTCATAGAGCTCTAACAACCTGCTAGAGATATGCCGACACCGAAGGCTTACATTTGCATTAGCCAAGGATGGAGATGGTGTAATTTACAGCTCCCATTTGGCCTCTAAGCTGCTCTAACTAAAAACGACCCATTGTACTTTGAGATCTTTAATCACAGACCTAATTTTTCAAGACATTTTTCTCCCTGTACCTCCTCTAGAATATCTTTTCTGATGTCCATGATTCATTTCCCACTCCACTTTTCAGGGGCAAAAATAACCCGATAAGGATAAAAAGATACACAAAAGGACAACCATCATCTGCCAAACTCTCGTCAGCCTTGCAGAATCATGGTTTATGCCTCAGAAGCATAGACCAGAAGGATGCCTGAACACATGCAGAGCACCAAGGAGGAATTTAGAGCAATGAAAAGTAATCAGCAGCAGTGACCAAAAACAGGGCAGGAAGAGTAACTTCTATAGCTTCATCAGAAATATATCTGGTCAGCAAGAAAAACACTGGCAAGATGATTTGCCGGATCCATCACCCTGAGATATTTCTCAGAATGGCTGTACTTCAAACCCAAGGTTTATAATGACATTATTTGACAGCCTGCTCAGAACACCAAGTGGTCCCAAGGGCTCTATACACAGACGACGTTACTGTCAGAGTGTCAGCACAGAGAACCCAGTGATGGGGCTTATTCCTGAGCCCAGAGAGACAGGCAATGCATTGGGTTATTGTTTTGGGCTGCTGGCAGTCACAGGCACTGTGCTACAAGGGGTTTAAATTACCCCCTAAAATATAAACAAGGCTGGGGTTCATGGCATGCACCGGCACGACTCTTCTCTGTGCTCCTTGCAGATGTTTTTCCATAGGCAAAACTTCTCCAAGAGCATCAGTGGTCCTTGGCTTAAGTCACAGCACACCCCTGCTTCACAGACCACAAGATCATGTCTAGCGTGTGCTCATCAGGTTTTCCCCTTAATTTTTTTCATATGTTCTCAATCCTGAAACCATGCACTCGAGGCAGTTCCTGTACCTGCCCCATACATTTCTGCATGCAGGACAATTTTAGTCCTCTCATGTTTAGGAAGCAAACAGAATCAGTCCTGAGCCACACTGAATTTTTGCCAGCATTGTCTCTCCCTCTCTAGGCAATTTAACACTCAGCTGCAGCGGAGAGAGTAGCTCTTCGTTCTGCTCTGGGGTCCTTCTGTGCTTCACACATCAGCACATCTTACAGAATTACATGGTGGATGTGCAAATTTAAATAGAAAAGGATGCTACATCTCAAAAAGGCAGTGAGGATTCAGCTGCTAGAAGCACGTAGGGTGAAAGACTCTCACTGCAGCCAGGCAGAGATCTGGCTGAAGTCAAGCACTCTTCATTTTAAGCATGAGTGGATGCTGTTCCCTGTTTTGCAAGTCCTTAATCATGCATTATTTAAAACAGTAACACCATCTTTTCAAAAATACCCACTTGGATTTTTCTTTTTTTTTAATTTTTTCTTTCCTAATTTCAATACATGGCTCTCAGTTCATCTGCAAAACAGAGATCAAGATTCTGCCTGGGTATTTTTTTTTTCTGACTGCTTCTCCTAGCACTGGGAACATGCAAAATGCTAATGTATGTCTGGTAAAAGCTGAGACTCCAACTAGCAGTGTGGGCTTGCCGCAGCACAGGCATTTAGAGGGATCTTTCCTAAACACAAAATTTGCAGCCTTAGAAGCATGAACTGTAAGATGCCAAGAGCAGAGCAGCTAACAAAAATTCAGTAGGAAGAGAAGTAATTATTTTCTGCTG